CCTCCGTAGCCCGAGCCAGCGATAGAGTTAGCCACCATGACAACTGCAAAGAGCAGTGCTCGACTAGCGCTCTGGCTATTAATGAGCACAAAACCGCCAGCTCTTAAGTCTATCAGGGATATTGTGTTTCCAGCGGTTGCGTTATCAGTTAAGTGGAAAGGCTCTGGGAAAGCCTGAAAATCTATCACAACTGGTGCGCAAGTTGTTCGCAGGTAACTGTAGCAAACATTATTATAAGTATTTACTGCTCTCTGTAGAGTTGTGTGAGCAAGCTGTTAAAGAATGGTAACCTAGGCAATGGCGTTGCAAAATTAACCTACAGCAAAATAAATGATTTACTTGCCATCGAGCTCAGCGACTATAGCAAGATTAGCTTTTTACGAAGCCCAATATTAAATATGACGCAATGCGGTGTGGACCCATTTCAAGCTGTCATGTCAAGCGTCACGTCACGCTCGCAGCCGACAAGATTAAGGGAAGCTATTTTCTTCATTACATCCATATAATGCGTTTATACGCAATTGTAGGTATGGTAGGGAAGTCTGAACGGCTCAAGCACAGCCCTATGGGCCTTACAGGCCATGCCGAAAACTCAAATTAGGGAAAGTATACTACTCTAGTGGCATAGGTAGTGTTATCAGTATTGCTTTGGGGCCGGAAAAACTGGCAGTTGCTTCATTCCACTTACTGCACGTACGCACGCACGCCTTACAAAGGGTATCGATGGTATGCCGCTACACCAGAGTCACCAGGCTTCCATCAAAGTGAATGATAGATATGCACCGGTCAGCTGCTGGCACAAAAGTCGGAATAGAGAAATGGTAGTTGCCTGTTCAGAATATGTATTTCGTAGTTCCCATTAGCTTCTGTCTTAGAAGCAATACAGTGATCTCTGTGACTGGCTTTTCTACTACCAAGGCAGCATCCGTGCAGGGCTTGCGTAGGTCGACAACTCCAGCAGTCCTACTCAGATACGCCAACGCTTCCTAACCAAGGCTCAGGCATAGCGAGTAGGGCAGGCAGCGGCAGTTTGGCGTACATACGAATCCAGGTTATAGGGATATGAATTGAAGGCTTTGGTTGCTGGATGGATGGCTAGGGCTTGGGAAACAGCCCTTTGGTTAAGGGTTTGCAAGTTAGTACGCCAGGGTGGCATGCCCGGTTTTTTGCCCGGTTTATTTTAGCGTATCAAAAGTCTAATGTGAGGACTCGTAGGGGCGACCGCATTGTTTGTCGTACAGTTGTAATTTGCTGGACAGCTTGCGCTCAGAATGTCGACTTCCTTGCTGCTGCGCTCTCTTTGACTTTCACCCTGGGAGCTTCATTGTGTGCTTGTCCAGTTACTGCCCGCTTAATAGTAGTCGACGCTGGTCAAGAGCTTGGGCTTGTTGTTTCATTGATTTAAAAACATCCCGCGGAAGCAGCTAGAGGAGATCGCATGCCGCTTTACCATCATCGCGAGGGCCTATGTATGGGATTTTGCTTGGGCAGTTTGGACTATGACTCTCAGTTCATAGCCGAGGCGGTAGAGGACTTGGAGTTCTGATGGGGGAAAATATATAGATAAATGCATCAACGGAGTGCCAATCCTGAATACCGACTCATGCAGTGAGCGCATTCTGATGGGGGGGTCCTTCGGTCGGATTCGTTGGTGTGGGACGGCATCAAGGAATGCGCGGTAGCGGATCTTGACGGGATAGTTTGGGGGCCCCAGCGGCTGCGGCTTTGGCACGGCATGGGGCCCCGCGGAGCTACAGGGACCGTGGTCAGCGGAGGAGAAGCAGCTACACATTGCTTGGCTGGAGCTGAAGGCGGTGCTCAGGGCACTGCGGCCGTGGGCGCCCCGGCTCACCGGACGGCGTGCGCTTATCCGCTGCGACAATGCTCATGCCGTGGCCGCGATTACACACGGCTCCACCCGCGTGACGGAGGGCCGTAGCATCAGCAGGCAGATGGTGAAGCTGGCAATCCGGCATGGGTTTGCCAGCGTTGAGAATGTGCGCGCAGGTCACCTTAGCCGGCAACTCAGCACCGCCAGGGATCATCAGTTACTCCTCAGGATCAGTGTATTAAGGCAGCTCGTGGGCAGGGGGCGGTACCAGCCAATCGTGGACTGCTGCTGCGACGCCCTAGGGCTTAACTAAGGTGCAGCTGTCAGCGCCGATTATTCAGTCCTCCGCCCGGAAGCCACGCTGGCGGGCCATCCCGCCTTTACTCCCGCACTTTGGGCCTTCCCACCACAAGGCCTGGCGGTAGTGGTGCCTGAAGCAGCGCAGATTGACCCCAGCCTACGTCGGGGTGCACACGGGGATGGGTTTTCCGGATTGTGCACGCGTTGCCGAAGGGGGGCCGCTGGTGCCTCTGGCCGTGGGGCGACGTACGACCTGCTTGCCCTCCGTCGTCAATAAACGCACACTGTCTCACTGCAGCCGCTCCAGGTCCGGCGGGCGAGGAGTGCGCCACTTGTGGCGGCAGATGCGGACTGAGGGACCTCAGGTGTGAGGCCTGTCCGGACATGGCACATTGCCGCTGGTTAGGGCTGGTGACCGGCGGCTACCCCTCTACCTCTGCATGTTGGCGGCGGCGGGCATTGGGCGGAGCCTGCTGAGGGCTACGTGAGCAGCATTGCCTAACGTTGGGTAGCACAGGCAGGCAGTGCAGTGGCGGCCCGGTCCACGGCCAGCTATGGGGCGGGGCGCCAGCGGTTCCTGAGGTTCTGCGCCGGTGTTCTGCGCCTGAGCGAGCAGGATACTTCTCACGGGCCCGGGGCCAGGGCCTCAACCGTTTCCTAGTCTGTATCTTCATCACGCACTCGTCCTCATAATGGCGCCCTGGCGGAATGAGCGCCCTGGCGGATTGGCAGCACGCAGAGCTCCCAGCAGAAGCGGCGATTAGCGCCGACCCGCCCGCATGTCAAGCGCGCGCTAGCGCAGGCGTTGCCACAGGGCTTCGGAAGGCGTTGCTGCCCATCCTACAGCTGCTGGTAGGGTTGCTCCGGCACAAGGCCAAAACAAACCCTTGGAACGCGCGCCGTTGCTCCCAGGACGCATGTTGGCTCGTCAAGGGTTTTTGGCCGGCTGGGGATTTCAGGCGGCGACCACGGGAAACCAGTTGCAGCGGGTGCAGTCAGAGCTGAGTAGATCGCGCCCCACCGTCTCCGCCGGGCGCCACAGCGGCAGCTAATGCAGGAGAGGCCGTTAAGGAGCCCCCCAGGGCGGGTGGAAGTCTCGGGCCCACAAGTGTGTGCATTTGCATGTCAGTGGCGGTTAGGCGAGCAGTGGTAGAGCAGATGCGAAACGGATAGGGAGAGGGGGTTGTCCCTGCGTGGGCCATGGGTAGTAGAAGGCCATGCAGATTGGGTCCACTGCCGTGCCAGAAGAGATAAATGTTAGCAGCGTCGTGGAGTACGTTCGGGGGCACGGTGAGCACGCCAGAACGCGGGTATTGTATTCCCCCTTCTTCACTTGACTTTTCCCGGCGTGTCAGGTTTTCTGGTTAAAGACGCCAGGGTCAGCGTCTCTAGAGCTACTACAACAGGCATTAAATGTACGATTACCGTCAAAAGTTATCCCGGCAGGTGGTGACCGCGGACTAGGGTTTGGGATGCATGGGTCACTTGGGTCATTCCGTTTCGGGAGATCTTTTGAGTAGCACTTGGATGCCTAGATTAATGGGTTGGTTGTCATCATGTGGCCATGTGGACTGGGTGGTAGAGTGCTGGAAGAAGAGGGTACGGGAAGTCACGCCAGGGGCAGTGGTCAAGGGTACGGCATGTCAGTGGGAAGAGCAGGCAGGAGCCGGGGACGCGGGGGCACCATGGTATGATTGGTAAGGACAGAATTGGCAGTGGTAGGGGGAGTAGTGAAGGGCGCAAGCGAGCGGGCCGTGTTGCTTCCTAGGCGCCTAGTGAAAGCTCGTTAGTGTTCCTCAAACCGGGGCCCAATATCGGTACATGGTTCCCCTGGCAGGACCTTTATGCAGCATAGGGTCATCGACTTGTGTGCGGGGGTCCCGCGTTTCATCATGCATGCAGTAGAGCTTACGCAGAGGAGCCTATCTATCAGCCTCAGAAATTTGTAATGGGGTCTACAAACACCCACCCTGCTACTCCCACGTTTCCCTACCCACGCACTCCCCCACCTTGTGTGCGCCTGATCCAGTCCTTGCGCTTGCTTCACGTGCCCTGGAGGTATCATGTTTTGTTGTTCAGTGCGTCTGCACAGCACATCCCGGTGTTCTCCGCATTTCCTCGCTCTTTGGGCTTTGGGATGTGGCCCTTCTCTCTGTCGGGCCTTAAGCATAGCTAATATAACCAGAACGGCAGTCGAGCCCCAACGCGATTTATTGACGGCGTTATACATTGTATGCCGCCGTTGGAACTAGGGTTATAAGCCTCGACCCATTCAACAGCAGTCGAAGTTTTAAAGCCCAACGCCTCGTCTAGAACTTAAACTACATTATAAACCTACATTTTGAAGACTTTCTAACTAGGCGCCGAAGGTTACGACCTACTATTACTAGCTACCTTAACACCGCGAGGAAATGTTATGTTACCTCATAGTCAGTATGCACGGCTATACGGGCTTGGTTTTGTCGAGCGTTGCAGGGTAAACATGGCGGAGATGCTGTAACGAACAACGATTCGGTATTCCTAGCTCCTCTGATATGGATGACCACAATAACCAATACAGTAACATGAACATAATAAATTTCGTCGTTAACTGAATGGGTAGTAGGAAGCCGCCTAGACTGGTAATCTGGGAGGCGGCTCTGTACATTCCCATTGGTCGGGCTGTACGTATTGCTGCCCGCTAGACTTCTTTCATTGATAAAGCAAGAACCGCCAACGTAACAATGTACATAGCTTACGTGTGAAGCACTTCTACTGTTTGTAGGCGAGCGTCATCCTCACTCGGTATCCAATCTCGTTATGATTAGAGAAACGTACAACTGTCGTACTTCAATATCGCCGGATAGACATCCTATGGTCTATCGGAACATGGGTATTTTCAGAATGTTGTGCTTTGTTATACCTCAGCCCTTCAGGTTGGATGAGTTAGGAAACAGCACCGAATGGCCGGTCGCGGCTGCTGCAACGAACCGACCGCATACAACCAGATTGCAATCCAGTAGGTTTTACAGGTCGACTATACCTCTGCTTGGCTTGGATGCTGAAGGTTACTAGCGCCCGGGAGGCCGACATTACATCGGCGGTAACGCCATACATAATCGCAATAACGAGCTTCGTTACGGCGGCTGAAGTACAATCTAAGGTCCTTATTACATATCTCGCAAGTTGGCCAGGATTCCTTTACCAAGTGAGTGCCGTTGGCAATGGTCGCTCCTTCCATCGCAAGCTCCAGCTTTAATGGTAGCGCCTCATCTTCCCAATCATCAGCGGCAAAACAAGGACGGTAGGTGTGGCAGTATCCCTCATCATCCCTCATCATCTTTGCATGGGCAACCGAATTGCATGGGAATCGAGTGCGCTAACCGGGAAGGCAGGCACGTGATTCCTGAATTGATCAACATCGCCAATGCTATGCTGTTAAACGGCTAGAAATATGACACAACATCCAGCCCGGAGCACAATTGCCCTTGGAAGCCGCTCATAAGAAGCACCCTGTTTGTGCCGCACTTGTCCTGACCCTCGGTGCAGTACCGACAAGGAGCAACAGGAGGGCCAACAAGAGGAACTGGTAGACCGCACCTCCTCTTTTGAGGTAAGGTGCTGTCCCACGGTTCGCACTTACTAAGTCATGGACCTGCGCGGACGGGTAGGAGCACCTCTGCCCTTCCTGCCAGCTCAGGTCGCCTGGTCTTGTCCTCCCAGTTGTAACGCTCCAATGTTACAGATGTTGCAGATGTGGTCCTATTGCATAGTAGTGTCAACCGTGAGAAGGGTGGCCTCCAACATTGGCGGCCACAGAAATGGACCATTGATCCAGCATCAACGTGCTGGACATGACCGCATTGTCTAAACCCCCGCCGCCCCCTCCTCACGCATTGCCCTCACAGAATGGTGTCTTTGGTGTGCTGGTGACGCTAGTGTAAGTGGGATAAGGACGCCCGCTTAGGAGATGAAGGTGGAGCAGAAGGGGTTTCATTGGCACCTGCCGCCCTACCGAGCACACTGGTCCCATGCATAAAGCAGACTAGACCCTTGCCACCCCTTCTGGCACACGACGCTATCGTGCTGTCTTCATGCGCAACCCTGCACACGGACGTCACTTGCCTTTACTTTTTGCGCCCTGCCCTACAGTAAGGAGAACAGCGAGACCCACATTCGCATCCGCTGGGTGCTGTTGAAGGTGTTCCTGGACACATGGCAGCTGTTCACGACAGTCGTGTTGCCGGCCGAGCAGGGCTGGGATATTGACAGCAACGGAACGTAAGTTTGAGATGCGAGTTTTTGGTTGCAAGGTCCTCACACAAGAGACTCCAGATATAATGGCTCCCTCCTGCCGTACTTGGCCTTTCGGGGCGACCTGACGTCCCCTGCCCGTCGGGAACTTCGACGGTATCGTTGAAAGCCCCATCCAATATTCTCCATTGTCGGCTTGTTGGAAGAAGGGACGCAGCCATTTCCCCGCCAAATCGTTCAGTGCCTTCCAGAGCGTGTTGTCTGGACGGGGCGCTGCGCCACTGCTGACCATTCCCTGGCCTCACTCGCCCGTTGGTGCTACCCCGCCGCCCTACAGGGTTTGGTCGGTGGTCTCTGTGTTCAACTTCAGGTGGCTCCACTCCCTGGTAGGACCGATGAGCAATCGCGGCTGCTGTGAACGGCTGGTTTGGGTTGGTTGAAGCTCGGGGATATGACGTAATGCCAACTTGCCACGGGCGACGTCTATAAGATGCTGCACGGCTTAAACGCTACCGGTGCACTTGCTGCGGCCCAAAGCGGGTTGAGCAACATGCCGCTGGCTGCTAACCGAGCCCCGTCAATTCCTTCAATCCATGCATGCTGCTTCCCCCAAAACCCTCGTCTGTCCCCTCGGGCCTTTTTGCCTGCCGCACAGGGCTACAATGTCTACCTGTTTGCCTTGTACGGCGTGGCGGCTGCCCTGGTGTTGGCCTTGGCTCTGGGCGTGTGGGTGAGCGGGTACTTCAAGGAGCGGAAGTTCCCACTGCGGTGGCCCATCAAGGTGCGGGGGCAGGGGTGGATGCGGGGTATGGGTGCGCGAACAGAGGGGCTGGTGTCGATTTGTGTGTGTGGGGGGGTATGTAACTTGGTTTGGATTTTGTCCGACCTGTTGTGAGGGGTGTTCAGGATGTTGCAGGGGGGATGATGGCAGGCGTCGTGGACAGGTGCATGCATGTTTTTTGGTCGGTGTGCAACCTGGCATGGGCTGAGCTAGTCCAGGGATGCAACATCGTGCCCGTAACCAACCCACACATCAGCTTCCATCATCTTAAGCAGCGCACGTATGCCCCCTCTGCTCGCCCCTCTTCAGCTGTTATGGCTGATACGCACCTTGGGCTTCCAAACATTCGACGTGGCGTGTCTGCACCTGCTGCAGCTGGGCATCAGCTGCAACTACACGGGCGCGCTGAGGCCCCACATGCACCTGAACCTCTTTCCGCAATACAGTAAGTGGCCAGTAGAGGGCCTGTGCAGCCCATGCGCGTGTTTGGCGAATTACCTCTGTCCAGTTCGGTTTGGTTACAAGCTGGGACCCGTTTTGGAAGCCGGAAGTCGACTGGGGTTTACACTGCGGTTGATCAGCTGGGCTCGCTCTTATCACTCGTCTGGCGCTGTACGGAAAACCAACGATGTGGTTTGTGACTGCAGGCTGCGCGAAGGCGCCACACATCCTGCACGCCATCGTGTCCGGGCTGTGCCTGGTGCTGTTCGTGGCCATTGCGCTGCTGCTCAACATGGCGGAGGTGGGGGCTTGGGGTGGGGGAGGGGACGGGGACTAGCAAGGGGCGGGGACCAAAGGAGGAGGGGCGGGGCCCAGCTTGCGGCTTGGACCCCTACTGCGCGTGCTTTCACGAAGTTGATCTTGCAGTCAACCCTGCTTCTAGCAGTATCATTACCAAGCCGGATGTACCCCACAGCCGCCCTCCCGGTCTCCGCCTCTACCCCCAGGTGGAGGTCAACCCCAAGTCACGGCGACCGCTTGCCCTCGGTCACAGTGGGGCGGAGGTGGCGGCATTCGCCATCAAGGTCGGTACAACTGCTGGGTTGCAAGCATGCAACGGGCTGGTGCCGTACCTGGTGTGGGCTCCTTTGCACAAGCATGCTTGAAGAAGAGGCCGAATCCTGAGGATGCCTGCCGATGTGTCCTTCACGTCAATCATATGCTGTATCGCAACACCGTACTGCGACTGCCTGGCGCTTCCGCCCGTGTGCGCCCTGAATACGGTACCCAGCACCGCGACCCAGCGTGCTGTCAGGCGCTAACGGTTGGCTGCCCCATGTGTGCCTCATGGCTTGCAGGCGTTGCTAACGCTGGTTAACGTCTTCTTTGGCTGGAGGCGTGTGGCTGCCTGCTTCTATCTCGCGCTCTCACTAGCCCTCGCCTACCAGTATCTGCGATGGGTGAGTCTTGAAGCGCAGTGTCAAACCTCGCTAATCCACAACTGCTTGTGTATGCATTAATAGAGGACACCCGCCAGCACGCACGCCCCGCCCACCTCGAACGGTCCCCCGCAGAGCCCCCACCTTGTGGCCTGGGTCAACTACCTGAAGACCGGCGTGTCTACCACCGTCGTGTGGTGTGCGGCAACACTCATGCTGCTGGTGTTCGAGCCCGGGGTGAAGCAACAGGGTCGGGACAGCTGGTCGAAATTGATGACAATTGTGATGCTGTCAGGACTGGCGCCGGCGTTTGGAGCCGGCATGCTGCTGTCTCGCATTATGATTCGACGCATGACAAGTACCACGCTGAAATGCTTGAAGTAAGTGTCAGGGGATCACGTGACCTGGATGTTAGGGATTCGGGCGGGAAACCTGGATTGTGAAATAATGGTGTCTGGGAACGGAGTCACGTTATCTGTGTGATATCGCAGTGTACTCATTGGCCGCTGTCTTATGGTTTGAGTCGCATGTTTACCGCTTTCTGTGGCCCTGCAGGAATATGAGACCTAGTGATCGGCTCGAAGACGTGGTTGAGAACATCACCGACCCACGGGACGTTGAGATCGTTGCCAGGTATGCCACATGCGGCCGCTCTACCCACGTACGCATATGCTTTGCCACGCAAATTCCTATTCCGTCCCTAGCTGGAAACTCCTTTTTGGTGTCTTCAGTAAAGCGCTAGCCTATGTTATTGCACGTTGGCCTAAGAGGCGTGCGACTTAGGAGTGTCACTGCTTGCTGGAGGGTTTAGCTGGGTGCTTTTAAGGTTGCGCTGGGATGCGGTGAAAACGGAAAAGGCAGGGCGGACCAGGGGAAGGGCCCAGTCCGTAGCCGTAAATGGTAATGCAGCCTTTTCACAGTTGTGCCACTGTTGGGCTGTACTGCCATTGACCAACTCCTGTTGCCTCCGAAGGTGTTGCCGTGTTGGATTAGACCCTGCTGGCTTTCTAGACCCTGGCGTCATGGAGAGGGCGGCCCAAGTGATCAAGGTAACGGAAGAAATCGGTACAGCAGGTTGCAGAATGGGCGCTGGGCAGCACACCTTTCGTCTCAGCAATGATCCACCAGCTCCGGTACTTGTGCACTGCTACTTGCATGCGGTGCGGGTGCTCTATCCAACTGGTCTCGAAGAGCATGCCCCTAACTTCCCAGAATCATGCTTACCGCAGCTTCGCTGCGACGTTCTTCCATTCCAGTCATGCTTCCCTCACCGTCGTGCATTCACAAAACGATCCGTGATTCCGCCACAGTTTACGCCCTCTGCCACTGCTGTCCCACAACCCCCTTCGTAACAACATCCTCATTTGTTGCCGGCGCCCCCAGGCTGGCTTAGCCATGTTCCCCACCAGCGCCTACATGGTGCTGCTGCACGCCAACTTCATGATTGACGTGCTGGGGGTCAGCCAGAGCGGCAGCCGCCGGGTACAGGTGAGTGCTGGGGGATGCTTGGGCGCGACTGGGTTGCATAGTGCCTGTGTGTCTGTACACATGTGTATAGGGTGTGCGGTAAGAGCCAGGAGTGCTCTGATACGTTTACTACTGCCATGCACCCCAACGAAATTAAACCTGTTGGATGGGATAGGAACGCGTTTGCGCGCGTTTGCGAGACAAGCGTCGCTCCCGTGAGCAAAGCCGTGCTGATGTGCTGTGCTCTGTTTTACCGCATAACCTATCACAGGATGCACGTCGCTTGGAGCCCAGTCTAATGTGTCGCTTTATCATGTTTGTACGACAGCAAAGCCAAACGGTATGTGGGATGCGGGATACGAGATAGGGCCTCGCATTGCATCTACAGGAGGGTATCCTGCTGGTTTGGGCCCCGAAGTCTCCCCATGCATGACGTACGTGTCTGCCCCTCATGTATCCTTTCATGGTCGTGCCCAGCACACCCGTACCCGTACCCGTACCCGTGAGACTCCTAACCGCTTTCCTGCCGCCCTTGCTTGCCTGCTCGCCGCTTGCGCTTCCCAAACCACAGCACAAGGACAACAACAGTCAAGGAGCAACGATGGACATGTTGAGGTATGCATGGCGCAACCGCGCTTGCGTAACCATGCAGGTCGCCCTTCTCATCTTAGTGACAGCAATCGCAGAATAGTACTCAATGACGCGCAACCTACCATTTGCCGCATCCTGGCTCGTTCCTGGCTCGTTCGTTGGCATGTTCCTGTGGCGCACGTGGTCACAGAACCTACGGATTGATTCGAACACGCATACCGGAGTAGTGGCTTTCGTATTAACCGATGCATGCGATACCCACCACTGCTAGCGTTCTTGACAGCACCCCTTGCCGCTGGTACCGGTACCGGTGCTAGTTGACGGTTTTGCTCAGTACGGACATGGCTGCAACCTGGCTGCCTTGCTGAATGCTTCCTCCTCCCTGCATCGCCGCTTCCCGCGCGCGACCGCAGCTATGTGGAGTACCAGCGCAAGCAGCGCATTGTGCTCAGACTTCACCGGGAGGCACTGCAGGCGATGTGCAACTTCTGGTGAGCAATTCCCCTGAGAAATATACTGCTTCTTAAACGGGTTTCAAAGCTGAGGTTTCAAAGTACGGGACTCTGCCGGAACTCCGGATGATGCTGAGGGGGGCGCTACTGTACGCCGGGGATATGCAGAAGTGCAATCACGGAGAGAGGAGAGCTTCATTCCGTTGTTTCGGTGTGCTTTATATGCATCCCGCAATGGTTGCATGTGCACAGACTCTACCTGCTGCAGCTGCAGGCCGGCTGCCGTGTACACCGGTCGTATGGCGCAGCAGTAAGCTTGGCCCACCATACTGTTTTCCTCCCATGCAGCATGATTTCCCGCCTCGCATTGTCCTTCTTATTTAATCCTTTAATATCCTAACCATTCGTCGCATGCCCACCCTCAGGCGGTACCTTGACACAAGCAACATCTCCTTCCGGCAGCTAAGTAAGGCCCTGGCAAAGATCGAAGCCTCGGTATACCAGGTAGGTAGGGGCCGGTGGTTAAGTAACCGGGAACAGGGCTAAGAACCAGAGGGAGGTTTTTTGGCGCCGCATCCTCCATACTGCGGAAGCGCTGGGTGCAGGGCACATCCAAGGTTTGCCTTCTGGGTCGCCGCACTCGTAGCATGCGAGGTTGGACTGCGTGCTTTTCCAACCATCCGGTCATCCGCTCTTACCTCCTCATCCGCCCTGTCACGCTACCTTCCGCCTTGCTACATATATCGTCACGTCCCGCCCCTCCCCTTCGCCCTCTTGCAGGCCCAAAAGGCATACCGGGTCGTGCTTGATGACTACAGCAGTAGCCCGAAGCTGCTGCGGCTGTATGCCAAGTTCCTGCAAGGCGTAAAGAGCGACCCGTGGGGCGCGGTAAGTTGTTCACTGCTGTTCATTAGCTGACGACAGGGTCAAGTGCGGTCACGGTGGAATGTGGGGTGTGCATCTATGGGTATAATTGGAGACTCATCGGCTTGTTTGTAAAGTCCGAAGCGGCGCTTCAAGTTCCGTTGTGCGCACTGCGTGTTGGATGCCGCACTGCGTGTGGGATGCACCGTTACATCTCCGCTGAACGCCGCGCTGTCGGTTGATGCAGGTGCAGTACTTCGAGGCAGCTGAGAAGCTCGAGGAGAAGACTGACAACGACGCAGGCGGTCCGCTGCTGCCAGATGGTAAGAGGGAGCGGCTTTTATGTTGCAGCTGTACCACAGGGGCTTCTGCCGCCTTGCATTACCGCGTTTCATGCTAGCCTTGGTTTCGGAGCCGTGTACGGTTTCCTTGCGCGGTTTCCAAGGGCATGATGCAAAGGATGCGTGGCCCTACGCGTGCCTCGACGCCCTGCAATAACCCAACCATGCCACTGCTTTAGCACGGCACATGCAGTCTGAAATGCTTGCGCCAATAGGCAGAGCGACCCTACATGTCGGTCAAGGTACCGTAGCAACCAGCTTGTCCGCCCCATGATGCCTTCCTCCCCACCCGCCCGCCTCTTGCAGGCACTCCGCTGGGCCGCATGGACGAGATGGACGTGGCGGTGCTGGTGGTGAACGCGGCTGGGGAGATCCAAATGGTGGGTGCGGCGTGGTGCGTTGTGCGATACATGCTCCGTGATGCTCCTGACATCCAGAGGCTGCTGCAGCTAGCTGCGGCTGCAGGAGCATCACTGTCGCGTCAGGATACGGTATCAAAATGGGTGTTGTGGCGATTAAGAGATCAAAGCCCGGGAAACGCTCCGGGTATTGGTATTCGGGCGTTTACGTTGTTATTATGCGCGGTGCTTGCGCTCGTGCCGCTACAGGGCCTTGTCGGTGCTTTGACATGCACTGCCCAATGGTACTGCTGTGGAACATGATCGAAGGTGTTTAGTTTATTTACCCCGGCCCCCCTCACATGGCGTCCTCCATCCCACCCGCCCCCCTCCCTCGCAGGCCAACCGGCAGACACACAACATGTTTGGTTACAAGCGGGGTAAGAAGGCACACCCTTGCGTCCTTGTGGACGCGCATGCGGACAACTGCCGCTGCCTCGGCCGATATACCGATATAGGCGCTGAAGCTATTGGTCAAGCAGGCCATCTGCTCTACGCCTGGTGCCTCACATCTTTCCCTACCTAGCTCCCCCCTACGTACATCTGTGGCGTATTACTAACCAAACACCACTCCCAGCCGCTGGCTTCATTCTCTCCTTAGCATACCGGTGCACTGCCGAACAATGAGCACAACTAAACTGTACCTTACCGTATCCATCCGCAACGAACCCCGCAACACACCAGCCATGCTCCTACACCCGCAGCCGCTGCCTGCGGAGTGTGGACCTATTCATCCCCTACTTCTGATCTCTCGTTCCCCCCTCCCTCTCGCCCTTTCTTCTACCGTGTCTTCACCCCAACAGGCAACCTAGAGGGCAAGCACCTGTCCTCCCTGCTCGCGCCGCACTTCAGCGGGCGCCTGTCCGAGCAGATCCAGATGATGGTGTGTGCGGGGGATGCATCTGTGGTGGCCGGCGGCGCGGGTGGGGGCGGAGGCAGCAGCAGCGAGGGCTCTCATCAGGGAGCCGTGAGGGAGCTGGAGATGCTGGGCATGCACTGCGACAGGCTGGCGTTCCCGGTCAAGCTGTCACTGCGAAAGGCATCAGGTGGGGCTAGAATACCTCACCTAGAGGTGTATGTCTTGTCTGTTTGGCTGGTTGACGGTTGGCTGGAGTCTGGGATTAGCTCGGCAAACTTGGGTCCTGCCAGAGTTGCATCGCTAAGGAGGTACTGCTACTGAGGCTCATGATCCCCTCCTCTTTGCCATGCCGTCTCCCCCCCCCCCCGCACGTCACAACCACATGCCACAGGTGTCGGGGAGGACTCCGCGATCATCGCAATGCTCGAGCCGGCAGCGTCTCCCAAGTCCGTCGCGAGCCTGTGGGTGGCCCCCACGGGAACCATCGCGGCGTGCGACCCGCGGTTCGTCGCCAACTTTGGGTGAGTGCGGGGGCGGCAGGCGCGCTCCTTGCTCGCGACTGCTTGTCGCACACGACTGTTGATTACCTGTTCACCCTACCGCCGTACCGCCCACATGGATGGAGGGCTGCAAAGTAAACACCTCCAGCCGATGACTCTAAACACTTCAAGCCATGCTGTAGGCTGTCATGGGGTCAGGAAGCGACTCTCCGGCCTGTGCATGCCACACCTGCCACACATGAATGTGCGGATCCTCCTACACTGCCCCACCCATTTGGGCATTCGACTGTGACATCACCTTATATTTCGACCTCGGCAGCACCTCGGTAATGCTGACAGTAGTAATCCTGGTTTCCTGTTGTGCTCGCTGCCATGCAGATGGAGGGCTTCGGAGGTGTACGGCGCCAATGTGGGCGCGTTGATCACCATCCGGTTCCCAGGCGTGCAGGCGGGTAAGGCCACTGACTTGGAGCTGGGTGGCCACGCGTTCTTCCCAGATGATGAGGAGGCGGAACACGCAGACGATTACATGGATTCCATGCCCAAGTAAGTGCCGGCACGCAGCTGTTCTAGCCTGCTGTCCAAACTCCTTGCTTCCGGCAATGCCCGCTTTGCTTTGGTTGCTTGCATGCATGTTGAGGGCCCCGGTAGAGCTGCGTGAGCGATGATGACTCTTGGTCATCAACCGCTTACAACACTCTTTAACCTACCTGGAGCCCTGCCATTTACTTGTGAACCGGCATGGTCCTGATCTGGATGTACATACGCCACCCGTCCCTACCACGGTCGCTGCTCCACACCTCCCGCCCTTGCCCCCGCTGCCGCCTAGGTTGCTTGCATGGGCGAAGGCCGCCCGGCAGGACGGCAGCTTCAGGGCCGGGCTGCAGTGCGTCATCGCGCACAAGTACGACAGCTCGCCGCTGATGTGTTCGTTGACGGTTGTGGAGGACGGTAAGCAGTGTCCCCTGCGTGCAAGATTGGCATGGCTGCTGCATGGGCGCCCGGGTGCATCGGAAAGTGTCCCCGACGGGTTGGCACCCGCATGAGCTCTGTTGCCCGCTGGATTGGCGTTCCTTTCTCCTGCCTCCCGTGTGCGTGCAACAACCAAAGGACATTGATACCGGCACTCCTCCCCTCAACAGCCACCTTTCCTCCTCGTTTTCCTGAAGCCACGCTGCCACCCGTCGTTCGCTTGCTCCTACTGCCCACTCGCACACAGCAAGTGCGGGAGTGCCGATACACGAGGTCCGCATCCGACTGCTCTCCTCGACCGTCGACCATCGGCAAATCCTGGCGGTGGATCGCAAGGGCGCACTGGTCCACGCATCTCCGGAGCTCGTCACCTCCCTCATTGACACCCTCGGCTGCGCGCCCCTCACCGGTGACGGCGGCGGTGGCGCCGTGGCAGCATCGGGCGGCTTCACCGCAGCTGGGGGCGCTGCTGGTGGCGGTGGCATCATGGACACTGCCGGTTCCTTCGCCCCGGCTGTCGGCGGCTGCGGCGGTGCGGGTGGCCTCATGCTTCGCCGGCATCCCTACATGGGCCTGGTGGCCGGTCCCGAGGCACTGTCCGGATACACGTTGCTGGACTTCCTGCCGCAACCTTGGAAGGACGTGCACTCCAAGTTATTGAAGGTAGGGCAGCACGTGGGTTTTCGTTGGTACGACGTTCAAGTGCTTGCGGGTAGCAGGTTCAGTAGTGTTAGAAGTAGGTTAGGGAGCTTGGATGAATGCATGTAGGTGCTTGCGCACATATGTACCGGTAAAAGACACTGCAAAGTGTACTTGACTATAATTGAGAGTAACTGTGACAGTTTACTGCTTGTAGCTGATACCTGTACTGCAACTGTAGATGTAACAATTCGTAATAAGTGATTCGTGATGATTAAAATACCGGTATGCTTGCCGACTTGACATCAGGTGGCTGAACGCCATTGTATGACATCCTAACCGTCTTCTAAGTTAAGTTAAATCCATCCAATGACAACCGCGCAGAGCACCACGTCAGTCACTCCTACAGTCAATCTGCCTGGGCAGTGCCGGCGGGCGGGTCGCTCCCCTCCTCCCGGCCCTACTCTGGAGCTGCGCACTGCAAGCGGCAAGCCGCTCTTCATGCGCGTGTCGGTCTCCACGGTGGACATCGCGGGGGAGCCGACACACGTCATACGCCTCGCAAAGTGAGAGGTGGCGGTGCAGTGCGATGCGTGCCGAGATGCGTGCCGGGGATGGTTGTGCACCGAGTAGATAGAGCCGGGATTGCTGGGTTTAGGAGCTGTTGCATGCGCCTGACTCTGGAGTGTGTGTCGTACCGTGATGTGCACCCGATTGCTCCTCTAGCAGCTCTGGTGCCTCCTGGTGATGTGCGTAGCGTTGCTGAGCTGAATGTGCATGTCCCGTTTCTGTTCGGTCGTACTGAACACACGCTGTATGCACTCCTTCCTGTCTGTTGCTTTGATGGCTTTGCGCGTTGGCCGTATGCACGCAGGTCTTCCCTTGAGGCCGCGCTGGACGAGCGCCGCCTACGGCTGAGCATCTCAGAGGAGGGCCTGATTGAGGGCGTCAGTAAGGGCGCCGCAGCGCACTTACTGGGGCTTGAACCCATGCAGGCGGGTATTGTATTGTCATGACGAGCACTGCAAGGGGCTGCTCCATAGGAGGCGGGAAGGGGCCAGGGTTTGGAGATGAGCTGACTTTGCATTGGTTTGCCGACGTAGGACGTGCCTCTCGCGGTTACCGTCCCCCGCAGCGTTGTCCGAGCAGGAACATGAGGATTGGGGGCTGAGCTGCTTGCCCTTGTCCCATGTTGCCCCATGTTGCCCCGCATGCATGCGCGCACAGGTCATCGGGCGCGATTTCTGGGAGGTCATACACGAGGAGGAGGAGGGGGAGGGAGAGCCCCTGGCTGCTTCTGCGGGAGACAGCGCTGCTCGGTCGGCCAGACTCACAGAGCTTTTTAAGCGGTGGGTGAATAGCGCTAGGACACGCTAGGCAGCTGCGTGCACCATTCCATGCGTTTCATTCCACAACTAGCTTGTGATTGTAGCATGCGTTCCAACCCTGTTGCGTTTCATCCCTGTTCTGACCCCGTGCCGCGCGGTTGCTGCGCTAGGGCTGTCTAGGACTGCCTAGGACTGCCTATACAGCGGGAAATCCCACTCGTGCGCGTACTGCATACTCCTATATGGCTGGTTGGCTAGACGAGACAACGTCTGGCAACACGTTGAACATGTTGGGGACCCACAACACGGGTCCCTGCCCAACTGCCCAGCCCTAATTGTCACTGCAACCCGAGCGAATGCCGCATGCATTTCACATGGCGCAGGTCCTTCACGCATGCAGAATGCAGCTGGCGCGTGCGTGTGGCCGTGCCGCCCCCCAAGCCGAAGAACGGCGGCACGGGGGCGGCGGCGGCAGGGCTGGCGGGCGCCCCATGGGCAGCGGGGGGTTCTTCGCCACCGAAGCACGCAATCATGCAGGTATTGATGATGGTGCTGATTGGCTCTACAATGTTTTGTTTATTATTTAGCTCTCTGTTGTCAGCATTTCTTCCAGTTGTGTTGTCCGTAGGGCAGCAGCAAGGGTGGGTCCCAATGCGTGCAGCGCTGTTGACCTTGTCCCGGATATTGTGCTGACTTCTTCCCTCCCTTTCTGGCTTCACCCTCCCCAGGTGTTTATGGAGCTGCCTAGCAGTCAGGCTGATGCGGACGCCGCCCCCGTCATGTACGTGGACTTGTGGCCGACTACCAGCGTCACCGGGGTGGTGGAGCTGGATGCCTCAGGGCGTGTAAGCTCGGTGCTTGAGGAGCTAACGCGACCCGCGGGTCTGCTGTTTGGCGTGCCCACACAATCGCTGGTTGGCAGCATGCTGAGCGGCCTGGTCACACTGCCGCCAGGTCGCAGCAACCCCAGTGAGCTGCTGTCCCTTCACGGCGCCAAGAAGAGCAGCCTCAAGGCGGACAACAAGGAGGCCAGCGTCAAGGTCGGCCCACTGCACGTGCTGCAGGCCGCCCACTCGGACGGGCGGCCGCTGGTCCTGGACGTGCAGATGGTGGGCAGGCCGGGACCCAACCAGCCGGTCACAGCCATACTGCGAGTGCACGCGGCGCCCATGATGCCGGCAGCAGCTACCACCATGCTGAAGACCAGGGATAGCGCTGTTTCGGCTGTAGCAGCTATTTCCATCGGTGTTGCAGGCACATCAGCAACGGCTGAAAGGCTTATTTTGCCGTCAGCTGAACAGGAGAGCTCTTGCCTTGCTAACCTTGCTACAGCAACAGTCTTCCCGACTCGCTACACCAGCCAATCGTTGCCGCCATCCGGCAAAAGAGCCGAGACTTCGTCGCCGCGCAAGATGTCCCATGGGTCAGTCGACGGTGGCCCAACAAACGGATCTCCAAAGAGGCCCACGCTCGACAGTGCTTCAATTCTAACGACACCCATAATCTCCACGCCACCTACTGCGGAGCCGTGCTTGCCGACCCGCGGGTCACTGGAGGTTACCAAGGCTGCAGAGGAGGTATCACCAGATACCAAGAAGAGCATTGTCGTGACGTCTGCTCGCTTGCTTACGGGTATGGGTGACGGTCTTCCGCAACCTGGGGTGACAGCGGGTAAGAATGCCTCGGCGCAGCAGGCGGGGCGCACGAAGCTATCGGAGCTGGTGAAAGCGGCAGTGGGACAGGGTGGAGCCGGGGGAGGCGGCGCCGGAGGCAGCAGTGTGTGCGGCAGCCTCCGGGTACGCAGCGTGTCAGCCGCAGCAGCAGGCGGTGCTAAGGGCGTAAAGGCCATGTTCGTGCCGAGGTTGCAGCGTAGGTCGGACGATCAATCGTCACTTCCAGGGACGGTTACAACGGGTGCTGCGGACCACACGGAAGGCGCAATCACGTGTAAGTACACACTGTAGGTTGGAGAGAACGGTGGCGGGACCATCAAGGGAGGTTGAGGAACAGTGGCGGGGGAGCTGCTGCTAAGAGCGGTGGTGCTGCCTCGTAGTTTCATTACGTTTCATGTGCTGACGCATTGCTGCCCGGCAACCCTCACGGACATGCAATGGCAATGCGGCTGAAGCGCATGCCGCATGTGAGACTTGAGCACTGGAGGCCTGATTGGGAATTACGTGATCACATGATTGGCGAAACTTACCCCCGGCTGTCTATCTGCTGCAGGGACTTCCCAAACCCTGGTGGAGGTGAGGTCCGTTGGCGACAGCGACCTTGAGGATGATGCACCGTTGAAGGTAGGAACTTAATGGTAACGAGAATGGCGGTTACGGATGGCAGGGAGGTGTGATGTGGTGCACCTTCGCGGCTGTGCCTAAGGCCCGCTGTAACGCCCATGGATGTGTTCAGGCACAGGTTGCCATTGCCTAGGCGCGGCTTGCTAAATATATATTGTGTAAATGCTCTTTACTGACAGCAAGGCAATGGCCTGGCCTATGCAGTACAAGCTCTCGGACGTGGCGTCTCGGATTACAACTTGGGTTGCCAGCGAAGGTAGGATCGCCTGAGGTAGTGAGGTTGGTGGCTGCTCCTGCCTGCGAGCCATACCGGTAGTGAAGCTGCACCCATCCGCTACGACTGCTACAGTGCCCATCTGCTTTGCGTTTCCGTCTGCTCACAACCGACTTCACATTCTATGCACCAGCGGTACCTGACCCCTCCCTCTGCCCGTGTGCCTCCCCTGCTGGCGTTCTTTCTGACACTCCAGGTGCTTACTACCAAAACACTGTCCCCGTGCCCGTCGAGGTAAGTTAGCGAGACCCCATTGTTGCTTTCGGATATTAGGGATTTTTCTCCGATTGACGTCGTCTGCAAAAGCAAAGGTTCCTCATGGGAACTTCGCAGCTCAAAACTTGAGTCGCTTGAGTGGCGTGTCGATTGTCCTGTTAGCAGGAAATGACCGCAACCAGCTAATGCGTGCTGCTTGCTACTGCCCCACCAACAAGGCCGCCCCCGCTGTCCTGCTGCTGCCTGGCTACAGGACGTTGACAAGGACCAGCGCGACTACATGGGCAGCAGCAAGAAAGCAATGGGAACAGCGCCGGGAGAAGCTGCGTTCTCCCCCGCAAAGCGGCAAACCTCCTCTGTCCGGCCCGCGGACTCCGGCACGCCTCGGAGCAATGCGGCGGCCTTCCAGGGCCTTGAAGGTGGCGCACAGGATGATGACGACGGGCGAGCGGAGGAGCCCGGCGGTGAGGCCGATCGAGGCGGCTTTGACGACGGCGCCAGTGAGGGCGGCCAGAGCGGCATGTCGTCTCAGTCGGGTGAGGCAGCGGGCTATTTGGACCGCTCCGCACGCGAATGCACGGATCTGCTTTATCATTGATGGTCGTTATTTTCAGTCGAGTGCGAACGACTTACTGCGCTGGCGGATGTATGCATGCCGTAATCCGTTGTAACTGCTGCTTGCGGACAGACTGCCGGGGTCGTCAAAACCGGTTGTGTTTTCACTTCGCATGTCATCACATCTACATTCAACACTACTGGCTCCATAATTGTTGCGCCCCTCTCCCACACCGACCATCTTATGTGCGTTTTCTCCTTCCCGCACTGACTCGGCGGCTGCATCGTTGCACCGCCCACCGCTCACAGGCACCGGCGGCCCCGAGTTCAAGCGCGGCAAGCGGCTGAAGAAGCTGGTCAAGCTGCTGAGCTCCGATGACGTAGTGCAGGTGGTGGAAAGGGGAGGGATGTAGAAAGAAACCAACCCATTGTAATTTTGGCATGCCCTGCAATCTCATTACGCCAAGCCCACCTGACAAATTCAGTCAGCATTTGAGAAACCCCACAATGCTGCTCCAGGCAGACCACATACCGTACATAGCAGCCCCGCGGACCCCTCCCCCCTCCCACTTTCCCCCTCCCTCCTTGCTTTCTCCCTACTACCGGTATAGATTATCCCCCTCCCTCCCCGCCATCTCGCCCCACCAGGTCCAACGCCGCTTCCGCAACCGCACGCTGTTCACGTTAGCTGCACTGGCGCTGGTGCACGTGCTGTGTTTTGCGTTGGCGGTGCGTGCCATCAAGTCGCAGCGCCGCAGCATGGCCAACCTGGGTGATCTGGGGCAGACGCAGCGCTACATCCACCAGGTGCGTGTGGGCAGGCGGGGCAGGGGTGCCGCCGGGGTGCAGGGGTGACAGGCAGCAGGCGGGGTGCAGGCGTGCAGCCGTGCAGGTGCTGGTAAGGCACGCGGTCGCCCACCTGCCTACCTACCTACCTACCTACCTTCCTAACCACCATTCAAATACATGCATACATGCATACATGTGTGGTGCTGCCGTCGTACTCGCAGATCGTAACGGACGTGCGTGTGCTTGACTTGATGGAGCGGAATATGACTCAACCCAACCTGTACACGGCCGATCAGGCGCAGGTACGAACGGATCTGGAATCCTCATCGTGGCAGGGCTTCAAGCGTTGCAGTTTTTGCTTTGGGACGACCTCCTAGCTGCTATCGCTTTGTTTGTTAGGTCCAGATTAAGCAAAGGTGGCGGAATAACCGCATACCATACATGCTTATGTGGTTAACCTCTACACGTTATCCCTGTAACGGTCACCTTTGCCAATGTTTTACCCGCGAGCTTTGCAGTTCTTTCTGGACCGTGTTCAAATGGCCGCAGCTGAGTATAAGGTAAGCCAGATTTGCCCTTGCATCCGTGTCGTTGGTTAATTTGAGTGAACAGTCGTACGTGACATGCATACACTGCCATTTGGGTCAGCAATGCAACACATGCTTGTCCACGTGGACCAACGTGGCTGTCGCTTTTTCAGCACGAATGGAGTGGTCTTTTGTAGTTTCGTGATGGGCCTAACCAGTGATGCAACGGTTTCGGTTGCTGGTGCTTGTTATACGTACAGGCACGGATAAACACAATTCTGTCGGAGCATCATGCTTCATCTTCGACCATAACCCAATTGTTGAGATTTACAAAGACCAAGGTGAGGGAACTTCATCATGCTACCCTGATGCAACGGCACCAGGCCCTTTCCCTTCGTCAACCAGGCTTGGACCCTGCTTTCGGTGCTCTGCCTAACCTAATTTACTTGGATGCATGCATGCATGCATGCGCGCAGGTGTGGGATGGATACGCGCCAGACGGAACAGATGTTTGGACCAACATGACCATCTGGGTAGGTACTCACCAATCCACCGGTACATACGTCAAGGAATTGTAATGGGGTCTCGAGGTCTCGCAAGAATTGTTTTGACGTTCAGTTCGGTGCTACCAACCTTACGTTCGTGCACCTCCATGCATGACACTGCCATGCGTTGGGTCTCGCAGGAGGCACGGCATGCAAAACTGGCTATGTAAACATCTTGCTTAAACATCTTGTGTAAACATCCCTGCTGCCGCGTGTTCTGCAATCACGGAACCCTGCCGCGCCTGTTACATGCTCTTCTGGCGTGCGGCACAGCAATGGAAGTGCATCCTTGCTTACAATCACTGGTTCCAATTATGTGTTTAAATGTGACCTTAATATGACCTTTTCCTGCTTTAGGAGTATGCCACCCAGTTTTGCGTCCTGGCGAACGAAATCTCCTTCACATACAACCAAACGTACGGAACGCCAACAACCATTCAAGGCACATACACTGGGGAGTTCTTGCTGAGGAGTGGCCCAGATCTGTACAAGGCAAACCGCAAGGCAAGCTTTAGTGCGCGCAACATGATACGTTGTAGTCGTTGACATACGTGTTACAAATGGACGAGCAATGTCGTGCATGAGCGATTGTTTTGGTGCCGGTTTGCCGTAGGTACATGAACTGTTGTCGCCCAACCTTGTTTTGATTCTTTGGAGCTCCTTCAGCATGTTGCCGTACGCCTTACCCCAGCATGTTGCCGTGCATCCGATGCCAAAATGCTGCCGTACGTTTACTGACTTCCACCGTATGCTCCCCTTGCCGCATCCCTTGCAGATGCTAGACGCGTTGCTTGACATTGCCATAGCCGAGACGAAGAAGGTGAGCAGTGTTTGGATCTCGTGGTTGCTCGAGCAACCCTGTACGAGCTCGTACTGGGGACCTCGTACAAATTGCCGTACAGCCGAAGGGTTCTGATATCGTTTCCAAGGCGACGTTTTATTTAGCTCACCACCCAATTACACACAAAAGCACAGTCACCAGAGTGCTTGACCCGGGCTCACACAGTATGGCACGCACACACCGGGGTATGTGCCGCTTAATGTGATCTGTCCTCCACTCCATCTCATGGCCACCAATAGCGATGCTTGGATGCGGGTTGAATGCTGGCCGGCGATGGTCACTCGTGTGTCTTGGCTCGCGGGCGCCTCGCACGCACGCAGATGGATACGCTCCAGCTGATCTTCCTGGCTGTGGAGGGGGCCGTGGTGACCTGCATGGCAGCCTGGTGGGTGGGTGGGTGGGTGGGTGGGTGGGTGGGTCTCATGCTGGGGCTGAGGAGGCCAGCGGGGCTAGGCGAGCGTGTCTGCCTAGGGGGCTCCTCCCTGCATTAGGTACCATAACTGCACCCTTTTGTTGGAGTTCTGTGCTAGGGGACACACCCAACCAGCCGCTGGTTGCTGCTTTCATGATATGTGCGGGCTTTTCTTCCTCATCTGCTGTACGATGCAAGCAAACGAAATCGTTACGCGCTTGTAGCATCACCCTCCACACTCTAACTCTGCCCTAACTCTGCATTTGTCTACCAGCCACCCCGCACCCTACCGCCCCAATCTGCATCATGCACCCCATCACCCGCAGCTATCTGGCGCACCTGCTGCACGTGTTGGCGGCGCAACGGTGCAAGCTGTACGGCACCTTCCTGACCGTACCTGTGGTAAGAGGGGAGAAGTGGGGTAAGGGGAATTGAAGCGAGGCAATGAAGGAGAGGGGTAACACGATGTGCGTTGGGATGGGGGTTCTTCCTCCCGCTGTTCTCCTCCCTCTTGGTAGAAGGGCGGTCTGACGGGTGCCGGGTGTCACGTGCTATTTGTGGCCCACCAACTAGTTACCTGGAACCCCTACTCGTTGTCACGTTCCTTCGCGTGTGCAGGCGCTGTCACGCACGCTGGCTTCCCAAAACACGGCAGTTATACTGGAAGTAAGTTGAAGATATGCGACATGACAAATGGGGGATGACGGAAGATGTGCGGCTAGAGCATGGAGGGCAGGTGGTGGAACACATCCGTATGAATCCTGCTAATGAACGTGCCGTGGGGAGCCTGAGGGGCGCGACTGATACACAATGCAGCGTAATACTTGCCCAGCCATAAGATTTATGTTCGCGTAGCCTTTCCAAGTACGGCACCCATCATAGCGATACGCCCGACGAAACGGTGTGCTGACCTGACCCTCTTCTCGTGTCTTCCTTCCCTCTTGCTTGCAACCTCATCCACCAGGAGGATGACGAAGAGAACATGAGTGATGACGACGAACCAGCTGCCGGGGCACCGTCAGGGCCCAATGCAACCGACACGTCCGACGAATACACTCCTGCCAGTGGTGGCGGCGGCGGCGGCGGTGTCCGTGGCAGCCCGAGCGCGGCCGCCGCCTCGAAGACGAAACGTCACGCAACTCTGAAGGTCGTTCCGGATTCAAACGACCCCAGCAACCGGTCCCGCGGCAGTAACGGCGGTGGAGGCAGGACTGCAACTTACGCCAACGGTCATAATAACGGACTTTCCGGCCGGGTGCACAGTGTGTCACGGCTGGATGGGAGTGTGCGAGGTGGCAAGGCGGGCAGCGAGCGAGGAAACCGGGAGCAGCAGCAGCAGGAGGAGGAGCGTTTGATGGGGGCTAGTGAATCGATGGATGCAGCGAGTCCTGGCTTGCTGTCTTCGACACTTGTTCAGCTGCTCAAGGGCTTTCAGTGGTAAAAAGGTTAAGGTTGGGGAATGTATTTTGAGGGTGCGACGGGGTAGGGATGGGGAATGTTGCAGGGAAAGAGAAGCTCGGCAAACGTTACCGTTATGCGCCGTGTGCGTCCGTCCACTTTCCATGCATTGCCTGCTATTTGCCGTACAGCTGTACACATTGGGCAGACAAGCCTTGTACTTCATCGCCAACGTATGCGTTTCATGTGTTTCATGCAGGCGAGGTCAGCAGGGCGCCATGCCACTTCCGCAAACGTCCCGGCTTGGAGAGGTTGGAAACAGTAAAAGGAGGCTGAAGTACGATTCCAATGAGACGTACATGCTTCTGCTGCCGTTCGTCATCTGGTCAACGCTGGTGCGTGTCGTCGTACTTTGCCGTACCTTTCCGTACACGTAAAAAACTGTCGTGCATACATTGATTTTTAAATGCAAAGTCGGGCCGGGTTACATGCCTACATGCTTGCTAAACGCCCCTCTAGCGGGGTGCAAGAAACACTGCTTGGGTCGTAATCGTTTTGCATGTCTGCATGCGCCCTCGTGCTGCGGTCACGGAAACAAATACCGCCGTACCCTTTTTCCCGCTGCCCATGCTCAGGTGGTAGCAATTTACGCGTTCACTGTCATCAAAATGAAGGTATGGTACGACAAGGGGGTGAAGGCTCGCAGACGCAAACAACCTTGACTTGGAGTTTCCACCTTGCTATCTACTTTGTGAACACAGTCGCCTTTGTCGCTGTCGAACTGAAGTTTACCACCGCCTGTCTCGTTACTACCTGCCACACCGTTACCTTCCTTCTGCGCTTTGCAGGGAGTTGTGGAGGAGGTGGCGATTCACTCAGTTACGAACATCGCGTCTGCCAGGGTTTGGAGAGTGGTGCGTCGGGGTATCTTCCTTTGGATGGTAGCTGGTTGTTACCACGCCTTTTCCTTTCCATAGCTGCCATTGTTTTGCCGCATACATCTTCATTCCACACAATCTCGATGTCCTTGAGAAATCTAGCCTCACGGCATGCACCGGTTAGCAAGTATGTTGTAGCGTGTTTGCAACATCTTGAAGTCTTGCATGAATGTGATGCCTTGCGTAAGGCTGCTTTACGACCAAACAACGGCTAGGATTTACTTGGTTACCCCTTTGCTCCCGTGTCGGTCCCTTTCATGGCCGCAGATTTTCTTCAGCCAGGTATGCTCTCGGGTTGCGGCGGATGGGAGGCGGATGGGAGGCGGCCATTGCCTAACGCCACTGCACTACTTGTGTACCACAATGAACGTAAAGCAGCATGCAATCCCGTCCGGCCTTTGCATTCCCTTTGCGGTTTGCTACGCCTGTGGGGGAAGATCCCATTATGTGCTTGCTTACGCGTTATTGTCACGCGCATGTGGCACGCGTTGGCTTCACACATCCTATCTATACCCACGTTTTGGCCTTTCCCAAGTACCCTTCATGCCTGCTGTGTCCCACACACACATTCCGCCTCGCGGAACGTGCGAACCTCTCCCCATTGCTTGCTCCTGTCCTACTCAACTACACACATTCCGCCTCGCGGCCAATTTTCTTAACACATGGCTGCATCACCATGGCTGCAGGAGTTGGCAATCACCGACCCGCCGCTGGTATCCAACACCAGCGCCACACTCGTTAGCTCCGTGCAGCTCCTCAAGGACGCCTGGTACACACTGCAGCTGGGAGAGAATGCCTACAAGGCAGCAGGTACGTACAGGCCTTCCGACGGGCGGCTCATGTAAAGGGCGCTGCTGCCTGGCTTCATTCACTGCACACCTACCGCGCCATGTCCGTCAAACTTAATTGCTTCGCAGGCCCTGACACGGAGAAGTTCAGCCATGTGACGCTGGGACTGGCGGAGGCTTCTCCGGCACTAACCGGCGAATTCTACAACAACGGCCTCTGTCACAGAATCTTTGTGAGTAGGCCGTTCAGTTAGGAAGCCGGGATGACGCCGTGCGGGCAGGTGGCACGGCTGGCGGTATGAGGCAGTATGCGTGTACGCATGCGGCTCCTTCCTGCATTGTCCCTTACTTCGTATCAAGCATGTGTGACATCCCGCATGGAGTTCTTTACCTTTACGTAAAGCGCGCCTTGCTTGCTCTGTTGCCAGTATTTACTAGCCATGCGGTGCGTGATGCCCGGCGGTGCAGCCCCCATAATCCAACTTTACGAGCCGCTGCAAGGAAAAAGCCACGGCTCCTAATCAGCAATCTGGGCCCTTCACCCTTGTCGCCTCGGTTTGTTAACGTGTTCGCAGGAGCCCTGCCCCGGTCCTGATTACCGCTTCTACCTGACCATCTACGGTGGCCTTGACAGCATCATGCAGCAATTCATGTTAAAGGCTATGGCCATGGCACGTGACGAGAATGTTACAGTAAAAGGCCTTGCAAATGGTGAGTGCCAGGCGCTTTGCCCTCTGGTGAAAAACCCTGATAGAACACGAAACATAACTTGTCCGGTACTGCATCGAGGGCTTGACCTTGTTGTTAGACTGCGGCATGCAGCTAAGAAGTTTGCGGCATGCAGCTAAGAAGTTTGTGTAAGGTGGAATGGACCAACACCCATGACGAACGGCACACCCGCCCAGCCATGGGTCGGTTCAGGTGGCCACGGAATTGTGATGGATGGGATGCATGCACGTGTTGTTTCCTCATCGGCTTGTTTCCAACACTGGGGCCCCTGTTGCACGCGTTTCAAGGGACCACGGGGTTGGAAAGGACATGAAGCCTCGCTGAGTTGTCCCATTCCCGCGCAGACAATCTCGACTTTATCTATAACGTCGGTGGTAAGGTACGTGGATAGAGGCGGCACGATATGCCCTACCAGGGCTGCACGGAGGTGTGATGTTTCTGCACGGACTGACGGACATGTTTTCTGTTGTCTGTTTTCTGCGTGCAGATGTGTGCTATCTTTCACTTGTGCTATTTTTCAATGACTGAACAGTGCATAGTATTGCAGCCACACCCCGCCTATTATCGCCGATGCTGTTTGCAGGACCTGGTGGAAGGCACCATACACATCCAAACTTCCCACTTTTCGACGATCATGTCTATCTTTACAGGTACGGCCGAGCGTGTTCCAGCGTGGTTACCGATATCCGATAAGCATCGCTTGTACGCCTTGCCGGCACGTGCTGCACGTGCTGTTGAGCACTCTTCCTGGTCCCTGCTCGTACCTCTGCTGATAAGAGCCCTTCTCATCTCCCGGCAGCAGCCAAGTTCCTCCAGGCTACGTTACATGTTTCATGTGTACTGCATGCTGATAGTTGTACAATATGTTTATTGTTATGACACGCCACGTGTATGCCATGCCAGTTGTACTAAATGCCACGTGTATGACATGCGTGCAGATATCCTCTCGCTGCACATCATCTTGTTCGTTATGCTGTGGGTGATCTTCGGTGGATTCATCTTCCTGTTGCTCCGTCCGTTGCTAAAGCGCGTTTCCAAGGAGGTACGGCAACACAAAACATACCGTACACACCGCTGTCATGTATTGTTTGTATTTGCGATGGTCGTCGTTGCTGCTCAGTGGTGTTTCGCAACGGGCTCGTGTTACGAGGCTTCCCCTCCCTGCCCATGCTGCTGCTCACATGCGCCCGTGAAGGCTTCTGATACCTGGAACATGCCTTGGGCTAACGCCAAACCGCATCCCCATCGTGTGGCTGGCCGTGTACTTGCTACATACATGATGTATGCGTCTGAGCCGCACATTTACCGCATCCACCTAATGCCCACAGCGGCGGCGCATAGCGGAGTTAATCAATCAGCTTCCCCTGGAGTTGGATGTGGAGAGGCTAGTGTCGCGCGCCCTCGCGGCAACCCAGCCCGGCTCCAACTCGGCCACCAATTCCGTTGGCGTCGGCAGCACTGGCGCCGTGGGAGAGACCGCCGGTGGATACAGCGGTGCGTTTGCGACTGCCTTCTGGGAACGGGAACGCATTGTAGATTTAGGACTGACGTGCGTAAACAACGCCAGAATAAGCCAGTAGCGCCCAGGTAAGTGTAATTAAGGTCCACGTCCGGGTCGTACATTCGAATCATTACTGGACGCGCCTCTTCATGATGTACGGCATCACTTTTTAGTGTACGGCAATGAGGTGCCTAGGGTTTTGACGTGCTCCTGTTACGGTTTTTGTGCAGGCATACGTGTGGACTCTGTATTCACCGTTTTCACAAAAAAGCAGCCAACAGGTATGGGCACAGGAAGGTTGCCTTGGCATACCAGTGTCATACACATGCCATCGGTACGGAGGTCACCTGCTGCTGCGCTTACCTTTCATGCTTTCTATTCTACCATGTCTTGAGCCCCAGTCATAGTTCGCAGCCCCTAGCGCCTAGCTCCTGGGTTTTCCAGTCGACGGCATGGATAACGGGCGCCACAACCTGATGTGGTGTTCTGAGACCGTAGGGCCGTTCGTAAGCAAATCATTATAACGACAATCCAATCGCACTGCCACTAAATCTGCTGCAGGAAAGGGTCTACGAGCGTAAATGGTAGCAAACCCCAGTATTCCCAAGTTAGACAACATCTCCACTGCCGGCACATTGCCTGAGGGCCTGTGTCGTACACGCGAGATGATTTTACGGGGCGTGCGCTCCTCCTCCTCCTCAGCAGCAGCAGCAGGAGTGTCTCTGCTGCCCTATCTGGCGGCGGGCGTATTAGGGACTCCATCCCGATAAGGTGCAGGATGTTGGGCCTGGCACAAAAGCCCATTAGGTTGCTGCGTAACGTCCCCCTATTTGTTAACGAAATTGTTATACCGGTTACTCCGCAAGAAGGAGCTCATCCAGCCGGCAGCCTCAAGTGGCGTGTTTCATTTGCGTGTGGAATAACGACGGGATAAACTTACTGTGCTCATCCGAAGCAGTTCCTGGCTTGTACATCACACGTCATAGTGAGGTTATGTATGCCGTTTCCCACAAAGCAAAAATGGTCCGTCGTTGTGTGGTTTGCGCTTGCGGCCCGGCCTGTAAGGCCCAAAGGTTTGTGCGTCACATCTGAGCCGTTGAGGCGCCCTTGTATAATATAGAGTCTTTGACTTAACATTTTTTAAGAGTTACTGTTTGCATTGTTTACGAGTGCGCGTGATGGAATTACTTTTGCGTGGATGCAAACGTGCGGCACAGAACCGTCACGAGTTGACTCTTTTACCCGAAGGAGGTACGGCAACGCGCACAGCGACACCGCTGTTTTCTATTGCTTTTGCAAATAATCCGCACGTCTTTGCGGTATCTGCCGTTGCTGCGCAGTGGCGTATCGCACCGGCTGGGGAGTGTCACGGAGCTTCCTCCCTGGCCCCTCCGGGCTGCGTGTATTGTTTACTGGATTGAGCTTACATTGAGCGTCGTGACCCCTTGTCTGTACGCGATTGCATGCGATTGCAGGGGAACTGCTGAACAGTTAAATATTGCATCTATCTAGCGGCCTCTATCTCACTGTCACGTCTTTTGTTATGTATCTAGTGCCTTATTGGCGGCGCTTATCGCGGCAGTTATCCTTGGCATGGTACTGATATTGTTAATCCAGCGTTGCACGCTGGTATCTAGGGCTTACCAAAGATTGGCATGCATGCATATGAGACAATTGCGCCTTAATTACTGACTGCCGCGCATGGTAGCTTCTTGTATGGCGGGTTGCCTGCGTTTAACTAATTGTTGGCTACGGAGGATTGAATATGGGGGCGGGGGCGGTTGGTTTCAGTGCGGCAGTAGTGCGTACGTGAGGAAAGGCCGCTCTCGATCGAGGTGTACGACGGAAGTCTGTGTGATGTTGTGCGTTACGCTAGCTGCAGAGCAATCTGCATGAAGCTGTATTCAATGTTGTCCATCTGGTGCCTTTCTAGCTTTGGGCTGCATTTCTTGCAGCGTAGTCCAGCCCATCGTGTTAAGGAATTCCTGCAAGGTCCGTGTTGCTAACGGTACCTAATCATTATGTCTGTGGTACGGCAGAGTGAAGCAGGGACTTCGGCTTCGCCCGTGATCCTTGTGCAAGTACTTGCTTTTGGGCACTTGATTCCAGGCGCTCCGCGAAGACGCGGCTTGAAAGCAAGGAAACTGCCATAGTGATACCCCCGGGCTTAAGGTGCATACGTTTTGGCCTCCCCTTGACTCCAGGCTTGGAAGCAAGGGAAGGTATGTAACAGCAAGGGAATCGATTTAATTTTTGGCTTTGTCTGCTGAAACCATCCCATTGCAAGCGTTGTTGCGTCTTGAAATCTGTATGTCCAAACTATAATTCTGTGTTGTGCTCCATGCAGTGACCCATGGGTCTTCCCAGAGCTCCTACCGTTATAAACGATGCTAAAATGCACATGCAAGTTTCGCACTGGCATTTTGCACTATCGGTATCTCAGTAGTTAAGCTGCCTCTTACTGGCGCACGGCAGCACAAGCAGCTTTAAATTACAGCATATACTCCCACACACCTGGACTGCATTAGCTACCTTCCCTGCCTTTACAGCAATGAGCCGTCGGATGACACACTTGCAAACGATACTCGTAGCATAAACAATTATGGCGACACGTAATGTTAGGTTGGTGTTGGTGCCATCTGCTCCTGTTGCGCTTCCGTGCTGTTACCCAGGTAGCCTCCCCTCCTTCCAAATCCCCTACCTAAGCGCTCTTCAGGAATCGCCCTATTGCGATGTTAATGGGAGCGACATTCATGTTTTCCACCGACCCGCCGCGGCTGGCACTGGTGACGCAGCTGCAGTTGAGACACCTGCCCCGTTCTTCTCCCTTAACCCCACCCCCGAGATGCAACACATACATGGCGGAGCCGTGTCACATGGTTAGCTTCCCGGCCCCCTTCTGCTTGCCTGGGCAGATCACCTGCTGGTGATTCCCCCCTAACTGGAGGCACCCGGACCCGCACCCTGCCTGCCCCTTACCTATGCGTGTTTTTGTGTGCCTCTGACCACCCATGAGAGGTGTGTCACGTCATCATGCCATGCCCGAACCATATCAGGAAGAGGCAAAAATGCATTCTGTAGACTGCTTACAGTATTTATCGTATCTGTATATACTCCATAGTGAGTTTGGCATCGCCAGGAAAAGTTTAGGAACAAGCAAGTAATGGATCGACGTACTGCTCTTGTCTTGTCTTGCCCCCGATCGGAGAGAACCCACCGGAACCCCAGACCCCGCGCACCCACCCTGCTGCCCTACAGTCACCTTTGGGTGCGGCTAATTTTTCCGAACATTTCCATTAACAATTCTGAAAGCAGACATGGAATGCTGTCAACAATTACTCTAACCTTGGATTATGCCCTTTTCCAGCTTTGAGGAAGCTGAACCCCCTTGTTGCAAAAAGTAAGGACCTTAAGCCCGGACCCCGGAGGTATCTCCGGTTCTGGTTCTGGAGCACGCAGGAGGGATTGTGTCTGGGCTCCAGGGGGGAGGAGGAACAGGGGTCAATACTCAAATTCATAACGCATAACTCCGTACTTTTGCTATACCGGTATACATGTGCATCACGGTACAAACTGGTCAAGCAGTGAAGCGGTCCTTTCGCAATGTGACCCAGTACCATAGTGGCCTGGGGTGATGCATGGTATAGTGTGTGTTGTGAACAGCATGCATCTGAATTATTCGTTTTAAGCTTTGTCTAGTGGCAAAGTTGCTTTTCAGGAAGTGGCTGTCATACCTGTCGTACATTCACTTATGTTTTGCTCGTTCCCTTGGTATGTGAAATAAACGCACGCACCTGCACGCACCGTAGGTATCCCAACTAGCTCACAGCTCGCGCTACTTTTCAGGCTGCCGAGCTTGCCCAGACCGACCCACCCATACCTGTCAAACATTGCATTGGACAGCAGCATGGCATGTATGTACCTTCTTGCGTGCCACTCAGACGCCAAGCACGGCCAACCCCGGAAACGAACCCCCACCACTTAACGGCTGGTGCATCCATCTCCACGCACGGGCGCACAACAACTTTGCATTCATTTGAACCCCTTCACTTTGCCCCATCATTCTGACCCTTCGTTTGCAAAACGAAATCATTTCATTATGAAGGCCCTTCGTTAAAGGACAAGTACATCAGTGGCCTGGACGAAAAACCAGAATCTTTGTTCCCCCCCCATGCTAGATGCAAAGCGCATTCCGTCATAGTACTTCACGACGAACTGCGGAGCTCGAGCTTTGCGCGGCCTACCCAGGGAAGCCATAATGCAGGGATCTACATGGCCTACCTGTACCCACGAAAGCCTGCTGCTAGACGGTGTGACACAAACTAAGCCTGACCAACAACACCCCTGTGCAGCAATACACATGATTGGGTTGCAGCAGATGCAGCAGCATGCAAGCGTTGCAAAGAAGGCATGTTGCAACCGTAAGCCCATGCAGTCGCAGAGCTTCCTCGAAGAGGCGCGATCAACCGTGGACGCTGAACACTATAATTAAGAAGAAGGCAACATAGCAGTTCTTGCGATTCCTTGCTGCCGGATCTCAAGGCAACATGTGCGCTAGTCCTTGCTCAAGGTTAACCCCGCTTGTTGTCACTTGCAAACTTCAATAACATCCTTGTTTAAAAGAAATCAAGAAGCAAGCGAAGCAGCGGAAGGGCATCGGACAAGTAAGCGTGTCTCTCGGCAGCCTCAGGATACCGGTAAGCATAAGACATTGTTGCTAATGTGTATTATCATAAGATGGCGAGGACACCTCACACGAACAGTGATCGGAGAAAAACCGTAGGTAACGAAGTGAGATAGCCTCCAGCTAGATTATTGACTTCCTGAGACTGGATGTCGTACAAGATATTGTGTCGCCTAGAACTTCGGAAGCTTGCTTAACCGAGTTCCCTAACGTTCTACTTATGCCACCTTTGACGTTCAACCAACACTACTGGCATTATGTTGCTTTGCAAGGCTTTCTGCCGCCTTCGAGCGTCCTCCCGACAGAAACAATGCCTTTGTATATTAATCCCTACCCAGTTATAGGACTCATTATGCCTGGGCATAATTACTTTGACCATCTTCTTTCAACGCGTCCTTTGAAATAGGACAGCTGACAAGGCTTACAGCGGCCGCAATTTATCGTTTGGAATTCTTCTGTTGTTCCTACACCACTGGTGGATTGTGGCTTCAGCGGAGCCATGTTAGCACAGTCTTCTGGGGGCTCATCCTATGCTGGAAGTGTCGCGTCGTCTAAGTCTTCCTCTTCTCGCCGTGCGAAGTAGGTCAAGGCTTGATAGTTGTCGGGTTAAGTTCCTGTATTCCTTTACCGGCAATTGGGTGCACCAATAGAGGTTGTATCCGACAACTATATGGAGCTCGGTTTTCGTCTGATATCTTCACACTTTACTGCCAGAAGCAAACGTTACATATATTGCACATAAAGTGACACCATAGACATATGTTCTTTGGAGCATCATAAAGTGCGGAAAACCATGGAACAGTCACACATCGGCTTGCCTAGTAGCTTCTCCGCTACTGAGTCAATAACCAGCTCCTCTGCACGTTCGCGAATATCCAGAGCGGATAAGGAGCACGACAGCGGATCTGGGGGAGAAGACCTGTGGGATAAGCACTCAACATTCGAGGTAAGGCAGAGCTTCGTGGGCTGATTTCAAACCAGTCATGGCATGTTCACCTTCGCATGAAGTGTTATAGCTGCAACCTCTGAGTGTGTGCGGCACCCAGTCTGTCGGAATAAGCTATTAGCGTTGCACCTGTTAAGCAAGGCCTACAAGGCCTTAACCGCGCGTTAGTCCTAAGTCATGGGGATCTGCTTGTGTGCGTTCTGCTATGCGCGGGGATTGGATTGGCATACGGTGGCACTTGTAGAGCAGCTGCTAGAGGCCCTCGCTTATGGCACGTGTGGTGTTGTTAGGAAGCGCTCCATCCGTCGTTACTGGGGACTATGCAGTAGGCCACTCTACCGCCATTACGGTACTGCCGACGCCACGCCGCGCAGAGTTCTAGACGCGATGAGTGTAGCGTTATTTTCGGGGGTGCCCTTGTGTGGGGATCATGGGTAGGGGTAGTAAGATTTTACCGCATGAGCTAAACGGCACTTCCCTACATGCCATGCAGAATGGCATCTTTGGTGTCCTCTTCACGCTAAGGTAAGCTGCGACTGCACTTTTTAAGTATACGTGATTGGAACGGGCATGGGATACGTCTGGTACGGGGTGATGCATACCCCGGGTCGCCATGCACCTATTGACGCTCCCGCTTCCGGAAAAGGCATTGTATCTTGCACTCCAGCTTCATGCAACACCCCTCGCGCCATTGCAACCCTTTTTTAAACGTGTGCCCGCTTACGGATTGCAGTAAGGAGAACAGCGAGACCCGCATTCGCATCCGCTGGGTGCTGTTGAAGGTCTTCCTCGACACATGGCAGCTGTTCACGACAGTCGTATCCCCCGATCAGGGTTGGCACATTGACGCGAATGGAGCGTAAGTGTTAAGTGCTGCGGCTTTTTGTAGCCGTTGGGTACGACCTGTGCCTCAGAAACCTGCGCAGCCTAGGTCTGAAGAGCTGGCAGAGGGTCCTTAGCGGGTTGCGGAGCTCCCTGCGCTCCCACAACTTGCTAGCAGCTCTGCACGCTTCTGCATTATGACTTACGGCATCTCTTGCGTGTTTCCTTGCTACGTGTAGGGCATGGACCGTGGTCGGCGTGCTGAACTTCACATGGCTGGCGGACCTGGTGGGTCGCTATGCCTGCTTGCCTTTTTCTCTTGGTAGACATTCGGAAACTGAAATCTTGTCATTATCTGCTCCCGTAGGGCTACACGGCTTACGTGGCAGTGCTCTACTGCATGGTGGCTTTGCTGGCAATTAACGTGGGCATGTGCGTGTGGGTGGCCTGGTGCTTCAAGGAGCACAAGTTCCCTGTTGTGTGGCCCATTAAGGTGAGGTGTGTGCGTCGTGCCAAAGGTGGCACAGGTAGCGCCAATTTGGATTGGTAGGTCCTAAGGAACTTGGTAAGTCCCGTGCCCACGTTGGCGGGCTTCCTTAGCGTGTGTGTAGCTTCAGGCTTCAAATCAGCGTTATATTTCTTCCCCTCACCTCCTGACAGGTTCTCCGTGTCTTCAGCAGCGTGTTTTTCCAGGCGTTCGATGTGGCATCGCTGAACCTGCTGCAGGTGGGTGGGTGGGGTGCGAGGCTCCGTATATCGCTGTGGGGTTCTTATGGGTGTACAAAGGTGGTCGTTGTTAACACGACCCGGACGATCTTGTCACGAAACCCGTGCTGTAAATGCATTTTTCTATTCCAACGAGTAGTGAGCATCACAAGTGCAGATACTGGCTAGCTTGTGCTGCACCCTTGTGTCACAACGCCCCCCTGTGTGTTAACTCTCCCACAGCTTGGATTTACCTGCCGCTTCACTGGCCCGACAAAGCCACATCTTCATTTCGCTCTTTTTCCCGAGTACAGTAAGTGCGCAATCATGGGGCAGTGGACCATATGGTGTAAAGGGCTCCATGCTACCAGCTGAAGCTCATTTTTCGTGCCCCCATGGTCTCTTGGTACATGGGCATCTGATCCATGTTGCGCTGGCCTTGTACGGAAAGCCAACTACGTGGTGTGTGACTGCAGGCTGCGCGAAGGCGCCACACATCCTGCACGCCATCGTGTCCGGGCTGTGCCTGGTGCTGTTCGTGGCCATTGCGCTGCTGCTCAACATGGCGGAGGTGGGGCGGGGGCATGGGTTTTGCTTCATGGCAATACGTGAACCGAGTCCGCCATGCAATTTCAGCTAGCCGTTTCCAGCCTTGGTTTGCTCTTGTATCGACATCACTTCGCCTCTAACCCCAGGTCGAGGTCAACCTCAAGTCGCGACGCCCGCTGGCCCTTGGTCACAGTGGGGCGGAGGTGACGGCATTCGCCATTAAGGTTCGTCTGAGCTTTTGGTAGTCGCGATAGCCCCTTTCCGACACCAGAGCCACCCTCGAAACATGTCCCACCTTGCCTACATGCCAGGTGTTGCTCACCCTCGTAAACGTCGTCTTTGGCTGGAAGCGTGTGGCCGCTTGTTTCTACCTGGTCCTCGCACTGGCTCTAGCCTACCAGTACCTGCGCTGGGTGAGTATCCGAACAGGGCGGGAAAGACTCACTGGTGGTCGTTGTGGCGGACTGGGTGAACAGGATGACTTGCATCTGCTTCACGCGCAATGCATGAGTGCCTTGTGAGGGGGAATAATCAATGGTGATGGCTTTATGAAGTCATTGATTAGGTATTGCTTGACAGCACGCCGTACAAGAGTACACCGCCGACCTCTTACATGCGTGCAGAACCCAAACCTGGTGGCTTGGATGAACTACCTCAAGGCCGGTGGTGTTGTGGCGATCGTTTGGTGCACCATCATCGGTGTCTTCCTGGTGTTTGAGCCAGGGGTTAAGGACGATGGCGTGGACAAATTTCAGCTCAACATGACGATAACAATGCTGGCTGGACTCGCGCCTGCGTTTGGAGCTGGCGCGCTGATGTCATGGGCCATCCTCCGGCACATGACAGCAGTGACGCTGAAGGCCTTGGCGTGAGTCACAGCACGGGCGTCCCTGCTTGCATTTCCGTGTGGGTTGTGAGCCGCAACCCGTTTGTGGCCTTTGCGGGCGTTGGGTCGTCACAAGGAAGCGTCATTTTGTCTGCCGTTGCTTACAGGAACGCCAAGCCCGAGATGCCCCTCGAGGAAATATGTGACAACCTGGATGAACCGCGGGATGTCGAGATTGTCGCCAGGTGCGAGTTGGATAACCGTCGCCTCGGTTTGCCCTCCCAGAATGCAGTTCTAGCGCTGGCATGCAAACGATAAGGCGGTAGCTTGTTGGTGCAGCCTGGTCCCACCAGGGCATCCTGTTACTTCATCCATGTACTTGGTTATGGCCCTAACGGCCTGCGTCACGCGCCTTTTCTCCCCACGTAGGTGCTGCCGCGTATGGAAGGACCGCCATACGCTAGAACCGGACGCTGTAAATAAGGCCCACCACGTCATTAAGGTAAGGGGACCTGGCTTTGCATTCACCTCAGAACAGGGCTTATTCCCGTAACCTTCGGGGCTGCTACTGTTCCTTCTGACCGCTCTTTCTGCCTCGTAGGCTGGTATGGCTATGTTTCCTAGCAGCGCCTACATGCACCTGCTGCATGCGAACTTCATGATCGACGTGCTGGGGGTGGCACAGAGCGGGAGTAGCCGATTAGAGGTACGTACGAAGGATGATATTATCGGTCCCCCGTCCGCGCATGCACGCGCGTTGAGTGCCTCGGGAAACCTGAGTATGGTTGGGGTGGCGGCTGATTGCACCTAGGCATGATACTGATGTTTCCTATTGCTGGACGCAGGATGCAAGGAAACTTAACCCGGGTCTCATGAGCCGATTTGTTATGTTTGTGCGGCAACAGCAAGCCACGGTAAGGGAGGATGGGAGGGGATGCGCATGTGTATCTGTTAGGGGACAAGGAGGATGGGCGCGGTGGTTGACCACGTTGCTGCCCGCGCTTCCGGACTATCCTCATAGCCGATTCCGTTCCGCACTCTGTCGATCAGCTTACAAACGCTCCCTTTTGCCGCATCTTTGCCTTGTGTTCCCTGTGTGTTCTGTAGCAAAAAGATGCTGGCAAGAATGCAACGGACGGAGCGAGCATGGATCTGCTGGGGTAAGTCGCTCCTTTCACTTGCATTTGCCTACGGGGGCGTGCGCACGCACGCACGCTACATGGGTAACCCGTGCGTTCCATTGTACTTCACCAAACCTTTGTGGTTTTGCGCCCATCGTTTTCTCCCACGCATTACAGCTACGTGGAGTACCAGCGAAAGCAGCGCATGGTGGTACGACTGCATCGAGATGCTCTGCAAGCGATGTGCAATTTTTGGTAAGGATGTAGGGCTCGTGTAAGGCATGGCATGGTACGGAGTGGGAGGAAGCAGTCTCGTGCCTCGGCTTTCATACGCCTGCTTTAATTCACACGGCCGCCCTGAACTGTGACGATGAGCGCTTTGGTCTGTTTCCTAAATGCAGGAAAGCGCTCGACGCGCATACTGTTTCCTTCACTCACCTCAGCAAGGCTTTGGCCAAGATCGACACCTCAGTCTCGGAGGTGGGTCAAAGGCCAGGAAGACTTCTGACGCGCACCTGCCGTTTCATCTCAGCAACCACTGTCACTCCGTGCTTCTCAAAATCTCCGTGCTCGCAAAGGTCATGTCGCATGTGTGCGGCTGCGCTTGAAACCTTGCATGTAAGGTCCATAGCCTTACTCGGGACGCACTCGTCCAGGGAAGTGTCCCATATCCTTGGTAACCCTAACACCTAATCATCGCGGTTGTGTGACTGCGGCCCACAGGCTCAGGCGGCGTACCGTGTCGTGCTCGAAAGCTACTCCAGCAACCCCAAGCTTGTGCGTTTGTATGGCAAGTTCTTACAAACCATTAAGAACGACCCATGGGGCGCGGTGAGTGCAAACATGGTTGCCGCGGCACCGTAACTGCTATTGGCTAAGGTGAACCCGCACGGGTTCGGGCGCCAGCGGATCCTGTCGTTGACTGACACAGTCCTCGCTTGGGGAGGGTCCCATGGCTGAAGTACCTCAAATCGCATCATCGCGGTTGCATAATTTCACTTTGTGATGTGTATCGATGCCGTGTAACTCTGCCCGCAGTCCGAATATTTTGCGGACGCTGAGAGGCTTGAGGAGGCCAAGAACGGCGATAACGGTGGTCCGCTGCTACCAGACGGTGCGTATTCTAGTTGACCCCTCCGCGGTACGCACATGCCAAATGCGTGTCATAACGTGCCTGAAGTCCTGGATCATACGCAATTCCTAGCTTGTCGCCCCCGCCCGCCCGCCTCTTGCAGGCACTCCGCTGGGCCGCATGGACGAGATGGACGTGGCGGTGCTGGTGCTCAACTCCACGGGAGAGATCCAGATGGTGGGTGCGGCGTGGTATTGACGCAATTTATGTACTTCCTCTTTGGGCCAATCTTCGAGAGTGTCAGTGCTGAAGTGAGGCTTTATGAAGCTATGCAGATAGAAGCTTGTGTCAGGGAAATGGCACTTGATTTTTGACCTGTTATGATCTCTCAGTCAAACTGCAAAGCTGACTAGGGTTTTTCCTCATCACAGGCCAACCGACAAACCCACACCCTCTTTGGTTACAAGCGAGGTAAGCTCACCTCTCCAATTAGACTGAAAACCCTACCTGACTTTGTTTCCTAGTTGTAATGTGGTGCTGTAGCTGTAGCCTCTCCTTCACGGCTGATGCCTTGAGTGCTTTTACGGAGCCGCTGTCCACCGCTACTCTTGTTGCTGTAGGCAACCTGGAGGGAAAGCCTATGTCCAGTCTGCTGGCTCCGCACTTTGGCCGGCGCCTGGGGGATGAGCTGTCGGGCCTGGTCTCGACCTCGGGGATGGCGGCCGCCCTGGATGACGAGGAGGGCGAGATCACACGAAACGATGTGGTGCTGGGCATGCACTGCGAGCGGCTGGCCTTCCCGGTGAAGCTGACCCTGCGCAGAGCCTCGGGTGCGTGGGTCAAAGGCTGCTTGGATTGGGCATGGGCATGGCTTGGATTTGTTTGCCGGTAACGCCCTCTCCATATGTACTCACTTGCTATACCTGGAAGGTTGGAGTAATAGGGATCTCCGTTACTGATCATTTGTCCTGTCCTGGCCGTTTCGCACCAGGCATTGGCGAAGACTCCACGATTATCGCGCTTATGGAATCTGTGCCGCCATTGAAAGGCGTAGCAAGCCTCTGGGTGGCACCCAGCGGCACAATTGCAGCCTGCGACCCACAGTTCGTCGCCAACTTTGGGTGGGTTACCTGCAGGGTTGCCTGCACCGAGAAGGGATGTAGTACGGTGCTTGCCTTGCGGTTGGTCACTGTTCGCATGTTCGGGCAGGTGGACCCTATGGCTTGCTGATATCCCGTATAAACAAGGCGTGGCGACGCTTTTTACCATACATGCTTCCCTACGCAGGTGGAAAGCCACGGAGGTTAACGGTGCCACCATAACGGCGCTCTTGTCCGTTCGGTTTCCCAGCGACAGCGAGGGGGCCGGGCCCTCCACGACACGCATCACGCAGAGCGCCAGCGAGACTATGAGGAAGTGAGTCGAACTGGCCCCAGCGACTGTGTCGTTTACAGCAGCGTTGCACGATGTGCTTGACTGCGCCGGCCTACCGGTGCAGGGCTTTACGTGGGGAACCTGGCTTTTATATTGATCTTTGCTCCTCACGACGTTACACCTGAATTCGCATGTGTCCGCAATGCAGGCTGCTATCCACGTCCAAAGTGGGCTCTCAGGACGGCAGCAATGAGCACGGCCTCTCATGCATGGTGGCGCATAAGTACGATAACATGCCTACACCTTGCACCATCTGCGTAGTTGAGTCAGGTACGCTCACGCGTCTCCTAGATGTCAACCTGTTGCAAAGCCCGTAACCCCTTGCTACTCATCATGCATGCGTTGCTGACACCGGGAGCTCCCGGTAGGGGACGGGGTTCGGTAAGCCTATATGTTACAACTGCCAGCAACGCATGCTTTACCCGACGTACTGCTAGGGTTACGCATTCCTCATCCCTTCCCCATGCAGACATTGCGGACACGCCTGTGTACGAATTGCGGATAAAGCTGGTGGCCTCGGATCCCACTGAGCTCTTGGCGGTGAACCGCAAGGGCGTCGTCCTGCACGCGACGCTGCAGCTTGCAGTCAACCTGAAGGACGCGGTCGGGGCCGCTGCGCGTGGAAACCTGCTGGGCAACCACCCGCATCACCATGACGCTGAGGGCGAGCTCGTGCACCACCACCACCATGCGACCATGGGGGCCTTTGCGCCCGCATCGGACCTGCTGGAAGGATACACGCTGCATGACTTCATGCCGCCGCCGTGGAAGGACATGCACGTCAAGTACCTCAAGGTAGGAGGGGATGCGGCGTTGTTCGTTGCCCTCGGAAGGGTGTTGCGTTCGTGTTCGGTCGTTGCCCTCGGAAGGGTGTTGCGTTCGTGTTCAATCGAAAAGAATACGTTCACCACGCCAAGCAACACGCCGTAACGTACGGTCTTTGGCCATTAAGCGCGAAAGTTGCTGCCGGACGCCGTGCAGGAGATCACCGCAATGAGCGCGCCTGGTCGCGGTCAGTGGACGTGCCGTAAGGCCGGCGGGCCTGGGACCACAATGGAGCTGCGGACCAGTACCGGCAAGACCACCTACATGCAAGTTGCTGTCACGACTAGCGAGATCGGAGGCGAGATGACGCACGTTGTCCGCGTGGCCAGGTGAGACGCCAGTTCCTATGGTTAGCCTAATTACGGCAAGGATGTTTAACGACTTTGTTCAGACGGCTTTGGCCCATGCTGCAACGTTTTCATGCCACCTTCAGTAGCCTCTCCGTATGCACGCAGGTCTTCCCTTGAGGCCGCGCTGGACGAGCGCCGCCTACGGCTGAGCATCTCAGAGGAGGGCCTGATTGAGGGCGTTAGCAAGGGTGCATCCAGCCAGCTCTTTGGCTTTGACCCTAACAAGGTATGGGCCCTTTCCAACACCATGTAGGGCAATTGTCTTCCTAGCTCCATAGTAACCAGTCATGCGTACCGGTAGCGTGTATTGGCCGACGGTCCATATTGGACGAGGAGCTTGGGGGGGCGTTGCATCGTAAGGTTGTCCTCAACAGCAGTTTTGTTCACATCCGTGCAGGTTGTGGGGCGCGGAATATGGGAGATCTTGGAGGACGTGGCGTCTTCGGATGGAGGGGCAAGGCTTTCTACCCCCGGGCCGCGCATGATTACGTCGCTTGTAAACAAGTAAGGTTTGTAGGTTTTGCTGTGTTTGCGGTTAGCTACCTTGACATGTGCTGGGTAAAGCTAGGAACGTTCGGCAGGTATATGCGTAGCTGGACTTCACGACGTTGCCTTTCCGCATGTTGCTCCACTGCAGGGCGATGTCGAACCCTGGGTGCAGCTGGAGGGTGCGTGTGGGGCCGCCGGCCAAGGGGAGCTCCCGCACAGCATCGGAGCTCACTGCGGCTGCCCGCGCCACACTAAAGAAACCGGCCGTCCTGCAGGTAAGGATACGGCGTAAGAGTGGCAAAGGACGTGCTGAGGAAAACACGGCACGGGGCGGGCGTGCAACGCAATTCCATCCATGTGCAGGTCATGGTAGAGGTCCCTGCAGGCGACGATGAGGACGCCGTCCCCGTCGTGTACGTGGACTTGTGGCCGACTACCAGCGTCACGGGAGTGGTGGAGCTGGATGCCTCAGGCCGCATGAATGCAGTGCTTGAGGAGGGCACAAGACCCGCGGGTCTGCTGTTCGGCGTGCCCACACAGTCGCTGGTTGGCAGCATGTTCAGCGGACTGGTCACGCTGCCGCCTGGTCGCAGCAACCCCAGCGACCTATTGACGTTGAGTGGTGCGAAGAAGAGCAGCCTCAAGACAACCAAAAAGGAAGCAAGCGTAAAAGTAAGAGAGTTGCGGGTGGCCAATTGCAGGAGCGCATGGTTGGCTGTTGACCCACAAGGGACTTTTAGTGCAACGCTTCGTCACAGGCAGTTACTCCTGTAACCTGAAGCGCATGGCAGTGCCCTGTTTGGCTAGTTGGTTGCCTGGATCAAAGCCATACCCTACCACGCATGCCTAGAAACGTCTTTGGCCGGCGTTCTGCTGTTATTGTTGTTGTGTCCTAATTCATGTCCGCTCTTCTTCCTTGCCGCAGGTTGGCCCACTGCACGTGCTGCAGGCCGCCCACTCGGACGGGCGGCCGCTGGTCCTGGACGTGCAGATGGTGGGCAGGCCGGGACCCAACCAGCCGGTCACCGCCATACTGCGAATGCACGCGGCGCCCATGATGCCGGCGGGCACCGCGGGAGCAGCAGCCATGCCGCCCCCTGCTTCCGTAGCGAACCCTGCGTCGACCAACGTCGTTACCTTGAATCGTACAATCACTCGGACTACCACTGGTGGCCTGGGTGCCGACACCGGCGAAACCCGCGTGCGTGGCATCAAGCTACCGCCGCCATCACCCGTCAAGCAGCCTCCAAAGCTGCTGCTGGATGCAGACGACGGAGTCGACGAGGCTGACGTGGACGCCAAGGACGAATGGGATGATCTGGATGTCGATATCGGGCGTTCAATATCCAAGACCAGCGCCAAGGTCTCTACACCTGTCACCAAGTCCAGCGCAATCGTTACGGGTTACTCTAACGCAAAGGAGGCATCCGGTGCGGTAGCTGTCATCCCTGCTCCCATGGACTCAGCAGGCGCCGCGGATCCGGCAGCGAAGCTTGCGGACGTGGCTGCGGACGCGCCTGCTGCCGAGGAGGATGACGTCCAAGATCTGCAGCAGGACGTGCCTGAAGTGGCGCCGGCGCCCGCTGCGAAGGGCGAGCTGCCCGGCCGCAACAAGCTGGCAGACCTGGTGAAGTCCGTGGAGGAGCGGGGCGGGCAGGAGTCAGCTGGGGAGTTGAGGAAGCTGCGGTTAGCAGCGAGCGGCCACCACGCCAAGCCGCGGTCGCCGGCTCCTCCTCATGTGGCGCTACCTGGCGACCCGGTGTTGCCTGGAGTCCCCGGAGGAGGTGCAACTGCAGCCCTGGCGAGGCACATTGACGATATGGAGGAATTGCTGAAGACCGGGGAAAAGAAAGGTGAGGCTTGGCCGGGGGGACATGTTATATCCAATATGTGGTGGCGACACCTCCCGGACCCACCCACCAAAACCTTGAACGTCATATCTCCTGTTCGCATACGTGGAAGAAGGCACCAAAAAGGAGCAGTAGGCTCCTTTACATGTTCCTTTTCTGTGTTTATAACTGAGCTTCTGCAACTTGGTCATACCGTGGTCCGGCCATGCCATGGTCACGCCGGCAAACCTTAACAACAGCAAAGGTTCATCGTCATACGCTAGGTTTCCACGCACAGCTGCGCCATTACCAACGACGGGCTCAACGAGTTACCTCGGCTGACGCTGATGACGCAGGTGCTGCCCAGAGCCAGGAGAACGTTAGGAATAGGAAGCACACGGAAAAACCCACCGTACCCCCGGACCCCAACCACCCACCCTGTCGTACAGTCACTCGCAGATAATAAATGCCGTATAACAAGTAAATAATGAAAGCAGGTTTGGAATCCTGTCATTAAGGTCTAATCTTTGGGTCTTTTACTACCCCCCCACCCCCTCCCGGCCATTGTAATTACGTTTGGTACCTCATGACAGGCCCAGCATGCCTGAAAGGTAAACCTGGTCCTGTGAATGCACCACACGGCTCCTTCCTTTCGCTGGTGACAGGTGTCCCGGAGCCTCCTGCAAAGGTTGACGTCCAGTCCGTTGCGGACAGCGAGACGAAAAGCGAGGGAGGCGGGGTAAGGTTTTATGCTGTTTTCCCTTGACTGGTGTTTGTATTCCTTGGATAACATTCTTAATGGTTGTTTCCAGGGTCTTAACCTAGCTGGTGTGCAGCGGGTCTCGGCTTGGGTGGCCAGCAAAGGTAAGTAATGCCGTACACGTTACCACCACAGCCGCGCTCCGTGCTTTGCTGCTTAGCGCTCTTGATTTAGCACGTTGTCCTGATTAATTAAGCGTATTTTCCCCCTCGATCTTTAGGTGCCTTCTACCAGAACACGGTTGCAGCACCCGTTGAGGTAAGGCCGTGGTTTGAGCCCCTCCACTACCCTGCACATTTGCTTCAAGGACTTACATTAAGGATTACGTGAACTTGTGCCGCTTTGCATCTGGCTTGGCCGTAATTCATATTTTATCCAGCTGTACCACTGTTTAGTTACCACCGCGGTTCCTTTGCCCTTCACAGAGCGACGACGAGAAGCGCAGCGAGGACATCATGGACAGTGTGCCCATCTCCGATCCGGCGCCCGCTAAACGCGGACGCCCGACGTCGCCCAGACCGTTGCTAGGCGAGAGCAAAGGCCCGGCCGTGTTCGGCCTGCGCAACGCCCCTGAGGAACCCGTGGGAAACTATCACGACGACGACGCGGCGAGCGAGGGTGGCCAGAGTGCCATGTCCGGGCAATCCGGTGAGTTGCTTTACGCTGACACCCGAATAAGGGAGGCCGCTAAGTCTTGAAGCATTACCATTGAACCATGGAAGCATTTTTCTTTGACCCCTTGCTTGCATCCTATTTCAGGGAACGGCGGTGCGGAGTACAAACGTGGCAAGAGGTACCGCAAGCTCGTCAAGTTGATGGACTCCAGCCAGGCACAGCAGGTAAGGAGGGGCGCCTGAGTGGTCGATATGACCTCAGGCGCAAGAGGAGACAGCCCTTGTCCGTCAGAGGCGTGGGTAACCACACATGCAGTGAAATGGCCTTCCGTTGGTTTCTGATTGTTTTTACGTTTTTACAAACTCCTGCAGGTCCAGCAGAAGTTCCGCAGGCACGCTCTTGCGACCGTGGCTCTGCTAGGTGTCACCCACGTCATCTGCTTTTCGCTCACCATCACCGCCATCCAGTCTCAGCGGGACCGCATGCTACAGCTCAGCCGGAACGGACAGGCCCAGCGCTACATCCAGGAGGTAAGCCGTACGACACTCTTGGGAAAAGGGATGTACCAGCACTGCTTGCAGCGGCTTGGCCTTGAGTCCTCCGTTGGCTTATAGCATCCTGCTGACGTTGTTCGATGTTGGTTCTGCGTGCAGATCATGACAGATGTGCGTTCCTTGGACGTCATCTCAAGGAACAAGACGCTCCCAAATTTGTACACACCCGACCAGGCGGCGGTAAGTGGCCTGCAACCTGATACCTCTGCAGGATGCGCACGTCTGTGCTCACCACGCTTTTGCCCGGTTGTTTCTCAGGCATTTGCGTCGCGCATATCAACAAACGCGGAAAACGTAAAGGTGAGAAAGCAACGGGTATGCGTATCCCGGGAAGAAGGGTCCCAACCCCTGCCATGTGTCACTATATGCATAGGGGGGCTATGGGCATGCGGGCGAGGACCTCCCCGCGGCATTAAAAGGCCGACACGGGGAGCCGTCCATAGCTCGGTATTTAGGGGCCTGTCTATGCTGCTGCTGATCACCTGGATTCCGAACTGGAAGGCTGCCTAACGGGACCATTGTTTGCTTGCGTATGTGCTGGATGCAGACGCGCTTCAACGATATCCTTGATGGACACCATACCAGCAACTCGGAAGTACTCAACCTGCTCTATTACACGCAGCGTACGGTAAGTGGACTGTAACTCACATTGCGAGGTTGGCAGCCATCGCACACTGCATGTGTGGGTTGACTGAACTGTAAAGGGCAAAACGGTTATGCGAACTCCCTGTTGTGTCGGGTGCAGGTCTGGGGCGGCAACGACCTGGACGGCTCAGACATATGGACCAACCTCACTGTTTGGGTAAGCAACGGGGTTCCACAAGGGGCCGCTAATGCGTTTGTGCGCTCTACATGCTCATACCGGTTTGGTAAAGCCGTAATTGGGTAACGAACTGTCGTCCCCATTCCTTTCTCACAGGACTTCGCGACACGTTTTTTCTCAATGGCTAAAACTGTCGAGCAGCACTATGCAGAGTGGCTCAATCAAAGCGTGCCGATCGCCAATACGGTTCCTGGACAATTCATCCTGAAGAGTGGACCCAACCTCTTCGGCGACTCGGCACTGGTGCGTACCTCCCACACATGGCTTTACTTTGGATTTAGGACTTGTCAGTGCGGCTTCACTTCTCTCAACTCTGCATTGGGTTTCGGTCGAGCCCTAGAGTGAGCATTTGTGGGCAATGCACGAAGCGCATGCCTAATCTTATGTTTTCCTGGCCCTGCGCAGATCCTTAACGCTCTCCTGCGCTCGGCCCTTGTGAACGTGGAGTGGGTAAGCACCGGTAGCAGTTCCCTTCTGCCGCATAGTCACCGTTTCCTTGCATAGAATACGGGGGTATCTTTAGCAGAATCCCATGCCTTCGTTAGGACATGCTAACTCCTCCAGCACCGAGCCCCCGTCAGCGGGTGTGCGAGAGCATCCTCATGCATCTCATCTTTAACACGCCTCCGTTGTGCGGGTTGGTGGATGCAGATCGACACGCTGCAGTTGGTCTTCCTCGCTGTGGAGGGTGCGGCAATCAGCTTCATTTGCGGAATGTAAGGCACCTGTGTTATGCTTGCATGCTTCCTGCTTAGCTGCTTGGCGTTTCCTTTGGTCGCAGCTTGCTAGCCCCCGCCTTAAGTCCTGCATTGCCTACTGGTATTGTCATATCGTTGCATGATGAACGCCTAAAAAATACCTGCCTTGCGTCCTGTCTGTGCAGCTACCTGGCCTACCTGCTCCGAGCTGTGGCCGCCCAGCGTTACAAGCTGTACGGCACCTTCTTGGTCATTCCAGTGGTAGGGAAATAAGGTTCCTGTTTGCGGTCTGCTTGCACGCTTGTTTGCTTTTGGTTGACAACCGCTCCACCTCTTTCATGCTCGCAGGGCCTCACTCGCGCCCTGGCTTCGCAGAACACCAATCTCGTAGTGGACGTAAGTGCGTCGTGTAGCTCTTTGTGTGTGACCACCACGCAGTACAGCATGAGGCGTGTCAGCACCTAGAGCAGCATACAGTCCCCACGTGCTGTGGCTCGCGTGCTTAAACGGCATAAACGGCGGGTTAAGGCGCCTTATTTGTTTTAAGCACTCCGCGGCTGGGTTAGTTTGGATCCTCTACCCTAGGTGCCTGCCATGCCTGTCTTGCGCGTAGCATGGATAGCATAGCAGAGGTATTCCAGCAATGATGACTCAATAGCAGGGATGCACCATCATGAGCTTGAATCCAGCTTTCAATTCTTTGTGCCGGTAACGATGGGGGTGTCAATGCTGACATGCAGGACGACGACGACGAGTCTTCGGATGAGGAAGAAGAGCGGCCACAGCCAACCGTACAAGAAGACCAACAAGACGACGACGGTGGGACGAAAACGAAGCGTCACGCGACATTGAGGATTGCGCAGGATGTCGGCATAGGTGGGGACACAGTTTACGGAGCTCGCAGCAAGCCTACGGGCCGTCCCAGCCTGGGTTTCGGCAGCACGCCCACTGCTGACGCCCACATGCCAAGCGGCGCTGACGCTAAAGGCGCGTACGACAAGTCGCGGGTGTTTTCCCCGACTGCCGACAGCTCGTTCGACTTGCATGGGACGCGCAATGGCTGCTGGGGGCGGTCCGTGCAGTGGCTTCGGCGCATGTTGAGCAGGTGAGGATCAAGTTATGGCCTGTGGGTGTGGACTCCTGTTTGCGCATGGAAGCATCTCTTACGGTACTCCTTTGCAGCATGGACGAGCATCGTGCGGGGGCGGAGTGCATTTGCGTAGCATTTTCTATTTTCCCCATTGGGAGTCTGCCGGTTTTGCCACGGGGCAGAGTCGGCGCTGTTGTCGCATGTTGCTAAGCTCAACCACCATCTGCCGATATCCACTTGCCGCGAGCTCATTGCCTGCCACGATGCTGTGCTACGCTTGGGTTCAGGGGCTACGACGAATGCATTGGAACCACTCGTTGGTGTTATGGTGCTTTCGTTTTTACCCTGCTGCTGATTCCTTATCACCTCACTGCAGGCGGAACCGCTCCGTGTCGCCGCTTCCTCAGTCCATGGCCGGCATAGGCAACTCGCTCATGTCACACCACCACAAGCGCAACCTGCGGGACGACTCCCACGAGACGGCCACACTGCTGCTACCCCTCTCGATGTGGTCGGTGCTGGTGAGTTGGGAGCCGCTTTACCGGTAGCTGTACGAACCACGTTGGAGCATGTCTTAGCAGCCATTCAACTGTGACCGTAACCCCTGTATGCAGGTGATCGCCATATACGCTGTCGCCGTGGCCCGGATGAAGGTACGGGGACAGAACAGTTGGGCAGCTCACGGCTCCCGACATAACCCTTGACCGGCATGTTGCGGTCCCTAAGTCACGAAGGGTCCAGATCGTTAGTTGGCGCTCACGGTAAGGGACCTGTCCGTTACTGTTGCTGCAGGGCGTCATGGATGTGGTGGCGATCCACTCTGTTGCGAACTTCATGTCCGCCAGGACCTACAGAGCGGTGCGTCTGGGGCTCTAGGGGACCTGCATGTACTGACGTACGTTTCCATGCGCAACGGTGCTGCAGGCTTGCCGCCATCTGTAGGCACGGCGTGTGTGGCTATGTTTGGGCGTTGAAAGGATTGTGTAGCAGCTTGTCCTGTGAATTTACTCCACTCCCGTCGTTGCTTCGCAGGTGTTCTTCTGCCAGGTACGTTGCATATCACGTCATCATGCCATGGCTACGACAACACGACGTCATGGTTTTGTCTCCCAACGTAACAACGCCATCGCCCGCGTAGTCAGGAATGGCGTTTCCCCCTTGTGCTAATCCCACGACCTCATACCTGCATGTGTAGATGGAATCGGTGGTATAACTGAACTGTGTACCATTTGGCACATTACATACCCCAGCCGCATTGACATTTAGCTGTGCCTAGCCGTCAATTCTACAGCTTTTGCCTGCTGCTCTCTCCAGGAGCTGGCTGCACTTGAGGACGCCTCGCAGCTCCTCGCGCGCCGGGACAACATCACGACGGCTATGAAGCTGGTTAGGGACGCCTGGTACACACTACAGCTCGGAGACGAGGCCTATAAGGCTAACGGTGAGTCTTCTAACGTTGGAATTGAGCCCCGAGGTTGTTTAGGGTTTTAGGGTTTCGGAAGTTTCCATGTTGTTCGTGCATGCCTAGTGCGGTGCATGCAATGTGTCCTAAATCCTTGTAGAAGGTTACGGTTCTTGGTGTATTAATGTATTGCAGTACATGTGGTACTACTTTGCTTATTCTCCGCGCGCATCATGATTCATGAACATGTTTGCGCATGCAGGCCCCGACACGGAGCGTTTCCCGATGGTCAAGGCCGGGCTATCGTACGCCTCTCAGGAGCTTCGGGACCTCTTTTACAGCAACGGCAACTGCCATCGACAAGATGTGAGTTCTTGCCTGCCTCCTTTCTTCACTTTTGGTGGCGCCACCGCCCATCTCGGGCCTCAACCTTGCACTCTCGAAGCATGGGTTGTTGCTCTTGCATGCCCCTTCGCATTCTTTCGGTGCTACATTGTCGTGTTCTTCCTTGCAGGAGGACCTGCCTTGCCCGGGCCCTGAGTACCGCTACTACCAGATCTCCCACACCGGCCTTGACAGCATCATGCAGCAGTTCATAGTCAGCACCACCAACATGGCGACCAACAAGAGCATGATTCCAGAGGGCCTTGCGGATGGTAAGCGGCGTCTGGCGGTATACTGGGCCTGGGCCCAAGCTGCCATGTGTTGAGGGTTGATCGCCGTTCTCTTCCTTTTTATGTGCAGATGACTTCGATTTTGTTTACAACGTTGCAGCAAAGGTGAGAGGCTGTGTACGGATGTCATCATGGTACTGCGTGCGCTCGTGTGCTGAATTGTATGTGGTCCTAAACCGACGAGGAAGGCCGTAAGTGGCAGTGGCATTGTGTTGTCCGGAGAACAAGCAATAGCATGGCAGCCTTTTCCACATTTGACCGCACCTTCAATTTGTCCTTTCACTGTTGTTCCTCGGCTGGCCGTGTGCGTTTGACGTGCAGGACCTGGTGGGCGGAACTGTCCAAGTCGAGGGGGCGCACTACAAGACGATTACGCGGGTTTTCACAAGTAAGTAATCGAGCAATTGTTGCAGGGGTTTGTCGCCGCTGCACGATGTGTCGGTGTATGCCGCATATCACAACGCATCACGTCGTCACATGGCGGTGGATGCTCGCAGGTGTCATGGTCCTCCATATCGTCTTGTTGCTGCTACTGTTCCTCATCTTCTCCGCCTTCCTGGTATTCCTGCTCAACCCGCTCCTTAAGCGAATTACGAAGGAGGTAAGCGCACGGCTAGGGATGATGTCACTCACGGACACCATCCATGTGGGGCCCGTTGTGAGAGGTAGCGCGCGGTAGAGGTCTTTCACTCTTTGTTCAGTATGACCTGACCTTAGCAATGCCGCACACATGCAAGCGTGCAGTTCTCGCCCCTGGACAGCTAAAAGCCAAAATACTACATCCATGATGCAATCAGTTCCTCGCTGGCTACATGTACCGTAACTTGCATGTTGCGTTTTGACCCGCCTACAGCGGCGGCGCATCGCTGAGTTGATGAGCCAGCTGCCCCTGGAGCTGGATGTGGAGAAGCTGGTGGCGAGGGCGCTGGATACGGCCAACCTTACGGCAGCCATGACCTCTGTGGGCCCAGCAGGCTCCATGGCGCCTGGCCAGGACCCCAGCGTCGGGCCGGCGGGGCACAGCGCCATCAGTGTTGGCCCAGGAGCTAGCGTCGGTGCTGCAGATGGTGGGCGAAAGGGCTAGGCTTTGCACTGCATGCAACTTGGGTACCTGGCATTGCTTCCGGGCTTGAAACCATAAAAGGAAATGAAGCCGACTGCTAACAGTGTGCTGTGTGTTGCGTACAGCAGGCACGCAGGACATCCATGGCGGGATGGACGCTGTGGCCAAGTGGAAGGCAATTATAAGGTGCGCAATCCCTTATCGCATAGCTCTATACGCTAAATGCGTCAAAGCGATTAGGGAGAGCATTCAAATGCCGTCCATCTGACCAGAGTTCCACCCCTTGACTTGCTGGCCTGCAGGTCCGCGAGCTCCCTAGCTGGCAAGCAGAGCATGCGGAGGCCCTCGGCAGCAGGGATGTTGCCGGCGCCGTCTCGGTAGAGGAGGCTGCTTTCCCTGGTGTGCTGGCGCTGTGCGCCCGGTATTGCTAGGTGTTCTCTCTAGGTGCATGAGTGCAAGCCCATGTGTAGGCTTGGGGCACTCGGTACCAGTTGGCTCCGCATGTGACCGACAGTATGAGAGCAGCCGGCTAGTACTCTTGAGCGGCTAGCTGCTGCGGGGCGTTGTGGCTTTTGCATGCAGCTTGTCCACTGCCTGCTGTGATAGCTCCCGGCCAGCCACTGCTTTGGTTTTGGCTGCTTAAAGGCCGCAACAGCGCCTGACAGCTTCCAATCTCCCGTACATCATGTTCCTGGGGTCGCCCGATACCATGAGTGCGAGAGGCTGTTGTTAACATGGTATTGGTGATAAGCGCAGCTAGGCGCCAGGTGCCGTCTCAAGTGTGGGTGGGGAGGACTTGCGCCTTAGCTTTTGCCTCGTCTTGCGTTGTACGTTGGGGTGGCTGTGCCTGCACCCCACGTGCTTTCCTGAAACTGAAAATACTATTCGAAATGCCCCAGCGGTCATGTTCCTGTGGGGGGTCAGGTAACGTCAAGAGGAGTGCGCCTGTCCTGTCTGTTCATTCAATCGTGTGGCTTGCGTGCGCGAGGGGTAATGGCGATGGCTGGGGGGGCACGTGAGGACAATACACGCTAAAATATTATATGCCTTTCGTTGCTGCGTGCCATAATGTACATATGTTGCATGTGGTTCACAGCTGCGTTCTTGCACCGTTTATTCAATGAAGTAGGGAATGAGAATGAAACAATCATTTTGTCTTGGCGCTGGTGGCTGACGTCTAGAACAACACCTGTTGTGGGTGTATGTTGCATTGATAGGGCTTTGAGGAAGGAAGGCGAGCCGTATTCCCATGCGTGCCCTAGGTGAACTCTTACAATTTTTGCCCTTTCATACTGCAATTGGTTTGCGTCGGGGTCGGGTGCGTGCTGTGTTTATTGTTACTTTCTCACTGCTAACCTGCACAAAAGCACAAGACGTTTTGTGAACAATAAATAAACTCACCACCTATTTCCCTCCATTCTTACCTGGTATATCTGTGAACCTAGGTGATGCGCGTATGTTATGGTTATGCTATTTGTGGGTGTTGTCACAGTTGGCACACCGAGAGAGGTGTGCCCCCTGTCGTCTGAGGTAACGTTTGCAACAATGAACGGCTTTCGTTCTCTCCAAATACGGTTTTGTGATCCAAAGGGGGTTCAGATGTTTCAACCCGGGAGGATTGTCCTAGGGCTGAAACTGTTGAGGGGTTCGTAAAAGTGACACGGTGCGCGGTATATAGCTGTCTGACCAGCTTATTTGAAAAATGATAATACGAAAGTGATTTCCCTGTGTAACGCTTTGGTGTGCGTAGGTGTTTCTCCCGTTGGGACCGCGCGCAGGGGGGAACGTTGAATGCCGTAAACACGCAATACCGGAACCAGAAAAGGAGACTGGAGGCGTACGGAATGGTGGGGCCGTATGAGCCAAGGGAGGCTCAGGGGGGCCCCTGCGCACAGCTTGCAACAGCCTTTGCAAAGGTTGGCTGCAGCGCGGCATGGGTTGATAGGCCTTGGTCTGGGACGTTGCTTCGATTGCACGTATTGTGGTACCAGTGCACAATAATTCACAACCGCAGTGAATGCCCCCTGGGTGGACCACACAGCAGTCCTTGTAAGAAACACACGCGGGCATATCACCAAGTACCTGTACTGAAGGACAGCAAGCAAATGCCTTTACAACACATAGCAACGCCTCTCCACGCAATCACCATAAGCCGCCGTTCACCGGTCCACACACCGACCCATGGGTCCGCCAGACATCTTTTGCCCCTGAAAGCACATAGGCTACCACACACCCGCCCCGTCACCCACCCCAACCTACGCCCCATGGGTGGGCCTTGTCACACGGTCCTTAGCGCTTCCTCTTCATCATAGACAATGCCCTAATAGGTAACTTAGGCTAGCCTAGGTCCACTCCTAAGAGCTGACACCACTGGCAACAATCGACGTTGGTCCCTCCCGCCCTCCCATTATCTTCAGCTACGTGTTATACGCTTGAAGTGTGTGTCGTGCGAAGCAAGTCATCAGGTAAGGGGTGGGGGTTTACCCTCAGCCTGCTGTGGAGCGGCTTGTGAGCGGCTGTGGGTCATTCATTGACCAGTCAAACGAGATCACTGAAAAGGTCATTCATCCAGGTCGAAGGTTTGCAGAAGAAGCTATTCTACTGTTTCGTGCAGTGCCAGAAGACAAGTGCTAGAACACACGATAACAATAACAAGGGCTATTAGGGTCCGCCGTATTCGGGACAACCTTGTGCTAAATGGCTTGTCCCAAGGCCCCCAGAGTTCTAAACGAAAATCCCGGTAGCGTATATCACATCAGTTTCCCATCGTAAAGACACTGTCTGCTCACGCAACATGCCTGACGCGCTGTAAGAATCAGATATAACTCGCGTACCGCAGACAGGCACAGCTACACACTCTTATCAAATTACGCTTTACATGGCAAGCAGCCTGCTTACCAGGGCAGTCCGAGGCGCGTGTGCGGCACCGGCGTCGTCATTTTCGCGATCTCCGACGCCGACGCCTTGCCCGGACAGACGGCTTCTGCGTCGTAGTTTGGCCAACTGCTATGGTCAGCTGAGGCCGCAACAAGCGCCTTGCCGCATTTCCTCAGCAAGCTCATCTTCGGACAACGTTCACGGCAGGGGATTCGATGGCCCGGTTCCCAGCAAGGACGCCAAGGAGCAAATCATTGAGGAACTTACAAGGTGCGGCGATGGCGTTTGACTGAATCACCGTAAAAATGGTAAACGCAGGCAAATAGTCGCAGGTGAGGTCCTGATTTTGGGCTTGCGCTTGCTTTACTAAGCTTGTCAAAGCCTCGTTGCGTATGGTCCCCGCCACCCTTGCGCCCGCCCAAACCGGCTACAGCATAATTGACGAGGGCGACGCCTTAAGAAAGGAGCGGGATAGGTTCGCTTCCATGGACCTCGCCGGTAGGTAGGGCAAACGTCGTCAGCACCTAAACACAAGTCGCCCTCACGAGCAATCGCGTATTCCGTGTACCGGTATCAAGCGCATCCACTGCACTGCGCATTGAATTCTGTTTTGCGACAACGGCAACCAATCGCACCGCATGTACGGCATTGCCGTCGCCGTACACGCGGTGCGACTGGCTGGTTACATGCTAACGCCGCTAGTTGCATTCCCTTCTTGCTTTTCCCTGCTGCCAGCATAGTTGGTTGCTGCACGTCGTCTGATGCGATCCCGCCCGCTGCTGCTGCTGCTGCTGCGCCCTTGCCGCCCCTGCCGCAACCCCTGCAATGCCAGGCAGGCGGAAGCTCCTGAGTGAGGTCAGTCATGCCGGAAGGCAGGGAACCTTATCCACAGATGATGGTTAGGTATTGAACAGCGGAATTACGTGTCGTGCCGTGAAAGGAAGAACCTGGATTCTTGTTGCGGGGTGCACAAGGGGGAGCCTTGCATGGATGTTTTGGACAGCACAACTTCGAATGTTGGAGGCTCTGTGCGCACAATGTGTAACTGGTAGGCCCCGGCCTTGCACCCCACTACCCCCGCTTGTGCGGGCGCCTTGAGGCTGGCTGCAGCACCTTTCTTTTCAAACGGCGTTGGCCCGGACAGCAACCCAGCGACCGCTACATTTCTACCGGCTTCCTTTCTACACCCGTCCCTGCCCTGTTTCCTTTTCCTTCTTCTCCCCCAAGAGCCTTGTCACACAGCTCGTTAGTTGCCTCGTCAGTTTCCCTATCTTTACCCCCAGTGAACTCCGAACACACCCCCTCTCTTCCGCTACCCGTCCAATTTTCCCAGATGCAGGAATACGCGGAACGATGTGAGGCTGCCCAGAGACGCGTGGACATGGAAACACACCCCATCCATAGCGAATTCATGAGAGTCTCCGCGGCTGCAGGCGTCAACTTTGACCGACTGTTTCAGGGGTGAGCCGCAATTTCGGAGGGGGGACTTGCTGGGGATTAGTAGGAGCTTGTCAATGAGGGTTAGCTGCGGAGCTTGTCGGGAAAAGGCATGATGATACGGTTTGGCAGGAGGGCCGACTGCAGGGTTGCCGGGGCCCCGAAACATAGGGAGTTGGTGCTTGCTGCTGCTAGGGGAATCGACACTTCACAATGCTGCCTGTGCCGACCGCCGCCTTCCTCACCCAGTCCCGTTGCTTGTGATAACGTCTTTCCTGCTGTGGTACCGGTAACACAGAACGCGTCTGTTTGCCGCTACGATGCCTCCATGACGCTGTTGCGCCTCCTACGCGGCTTCCAGGATCATACGGGAGACGGACGCGTATCGCAGTTGGGTTGAGGAGGAGGAGCGGGTCAGCAGCGACCCGGTGGCGTACGAACATTTCCTGAAGGTGCGGGCGGAGGGAGGCGGGGCAAGGAGGCTTCGCCGGCGGGGTAGCGCCTTAAACGGCGATGCGTCCGACCCATGGGTCCTTCATCATCCCAAGGCCTCCTGTCCCTCTGCGGGAATAATCCATCATCATGTGTTACGTACTAGCAGTCGCACCGTTGCACTTACACATGCATGGTATTTGTGCATGCCGCCGCAGCGTCTGCGTGAGTTTTGGGCCCCGACCACGCACGTCAGTGTGTCGGCGCTGCTGAACCGCGTGGCGGACTCGATGCGCCCAACGTCCCTCCTGAAGGCTCAGATGGACCCCAAGGTATGGTCTTGCCCCGGGGTTTGTGCTTGTCGCTGTGCTCGGCGCTTTGAAGTACCACTCCAACCTTTGAACCCAGTGCGTTGTTGCCTACCCACGCCTCCAACCATCGCTTCCTTTCCCGTCCTCGATTTCCCCCACTCATTCAACAAATTGGGTATTCTTCTTTTCCCCCATCGCAGTTTTGGTTGGCCATCAATGAGATCAGGGACAGCCCCACCCCCGAGGTGATGGCCCGCTGGCTGGTCCACCCCAACATCGGGCCGCTGGTGGAGGAGTTGTGGAAGCACATGCAGCAGGCACGGAGGAGGGAGCAGCAGGGGCAGCAGTAGAGGGAGGAGGATGAAGCTCTAAAAGAGAATACAGCAGGGGCAGCGCGAGCAGCAGACGTAGGGAGAGGCATATGAGGCTTAGCGAGCGTGCGCAGTGGGGCCTGTACGCATGTGTACTGGGTGCGGCAGACGGCCGCATGTCGTTGAGGTCTTGCAATAGGACACAGCAATGTCGTTGAGGCGAGCATAGCAGCATTGCAACATGAAAGTCTGTAATAGCACGGGTAGCGCTGGGCAGGCGTAGATGCAGTGGATGGCCTAGTGGCTTGGCATAAAGGGAGTGCATGAATCTGGTAGCTGGTGGGTATCGCATGGGGCTGCGCTTCAATGATTTGTTCACAACGGGGGGCATACGGGGCTGTATTGCGGGTACTGCATGGCCAGCAGCGGGTGCTTTCTCCTGGACTCCTCCTCCTCTACCTCCCTAGCCCTCTCCAGGTCCTTGGCGGCACCTGCCTGCAGGCCACTTTGCCACTGTTTGGCGCAGACCGTAGGTACCGTAACCTCCCGACCGGTTTCTGAAATGCGGTACGTACGCCTGTTCAAGGTACCTTGTAGGCTTGCTGTGCAACATGCAGGCAGCAGCAGCAGCAAGCAAGCACCGGAAAGTCCGTGTGTAGCGTGCCATGTGTAGGAAGTAAGGCCGAGATTGCTGATGTACCTGTTCAAAGTATCCGCATGCGGTGCCATGCCGTACGACGGGGGGGTGTCATCAGCTTCTCATAGCTGTTGGAAAGGGGCGTGTGGGGCGGTGACCTGTTAGTACGAGGTGAGGCCCATAGCTCACAAAGCATGCACGTGAGAAAGCATTGATATTTGATACCGGTAGCCCTGCTGGTGATCCTTACGTTGTAGCTTTATGAAGCTTGGGAACTGTCACGGGCCGAACAGAGCACTGGCAACTTCCGCTTAGTGTAACTTCGGCTTCCTAAGCACTGTACAGGTCACCGCAACCACCTCACCGGCCCTCGACCTGCTAGCAGCAGCACCAGCCTCCTTTCTCGTGCTGCCCCCGCCCACAATGTCCACCACCGCCTTTCTGTTTCTACTCGCCGTACGTACTTGTCCTACACGCCTTATGTACTAACTACGCTAGGCAATTCTGGCAAGCGGGGCGGCGATATTATCCGAGCGCTGTCCCGGTATGGCGATTAACTGGTTAACGGTTGAAGTGCACAGCCGCTACGCAAGAGCGAAGCAATTAAAGGCATCATGTAAAAACTCGAGTGGATTGGGCTTGAACATTAACAATAAGTTATGCATGAAAAAAGCTTGGCGCTGGCTAGCCCACCGGCGACGCATGGATGGTCGGCATGGACGGCATTAGCGGAAGCAGTTAGCCAGGATAAGAGGCCGCACGTATGGTCGCTCTTTAGTGTTCATGCCTTTTACATGTCTGATGATCCCGTGGTGCTCCCCTATGTTGATGTTGGACGCCGGAGAATCCCGAGGCAAGCCCGAGACAAGACCCAAGACTGTAGGCGAGGCTTCTTGAGCATAGGCGTCGAGCGAGTATATTATAAGCACACATAAGTCAGCACGCTCGAATGGACGAAGGTTAAAGTTCTGGGTTTCCAGGCCGAAGGGTTTCCGTGATGACTGCCGTTCATGGCGGATTCCAATATTGCACGGCGCCCACCATCCGGACTGGATATCTGCTGCGCTAAAACTTCAATTTGCCGTTTTGTTGTAACTATGCAACTCATTATAGCCTCTATGCAAATAGTTTTCTACAAGGGCTACTGCAATCAGGCTCTCGTAATCGCTCGACGCACCAAGCAATAAGCGCAACTGCCGTCACATAAATGGGGCTTGAGACACGACGCAGCGCCCCGCACCAACAACTTGCTTCGCGCGCTAACTCTCAAAGCCAAGCCCTTAATGGCTCAAATCTACTAAGCTTGCGCCGACTGGCGCTCTCCACCTGCTCCACTCGAGCTGCAAGCCCAGCCCGACGCGCTACAGGCGCGGAAGGTACCGATAGCTCCTGTGCATCGGTTACCGCCAGTTGCGTTTACAGCGACGAGGAAACTGACGTCCCGCTTCCTTCTTCCGAGGTAACCTTACATGTGCTACATCAACCCTACAGACATTTGAGCTATGGCTGCTCGGTTGCTGCTGCTTTGCACAAGGATTTGGTTGGCTCGGTGCTGCTGAAGAGCCCTACATGATAGTTCTTGCACAAAAGGCCATAATGGGAAGCATACCTGCCGTACTCGCACATACTCCTCCTGAGCCTGACTTGCACCCTCTGGTCACTTGGTGAATTGTGTGCTCCTCAACTTGCTGCTAGCCCCGCAGAGGACACGGCTAACCGCCTCAGCGTTGCTCAATCCAGCAACTCCTCACAACCTCCTTAACTCGTGAATCCCCTTGCCCTACACCAATCAGCCGCCGTTGCTAACCACCCCCCCCTCATCCTCTACAGGAAGTAGAAGGCCTAACTGAGCGCATCGCAGCTTTGGAGGCCAAGGTAGCGCACCTCAACGTCCGTGTGGAGGGCTGGCTAGGGGGTGCACTTGCGGCTACAGCCAGCAGTGTTGCCGCAGCCACTGCGGGGAGCGTCGACAGCTGTGATTCGCCCCCTAGTAGCGCCAGATCCTAGGCGAGTGGAGGGACTGCTTACGAGTATGGTAAGGTAAAGGTGCAGCGACAACCCAGGCAGATAGCCATGGCAAAGGTCAGTGGCGCGGTGTTTGCGGAAGGCCTCTTAAGGACCAACGAACGTATCGTCCACTCAAGGTATTGGCGGTTTGTTTGCTGGTTTGTGCACAAGCACGCTGGTCTCTCAAACCTGCTGAAACGGAATGCTTACGTCGTGTACACTGTGCATGCATGTGCAGAGCGGTAGGTTGGCTTTCGCATATATGTTGTAATGTCCCCGGGCAGTTCCGGGATAAGGTGGATGTGAAGACTTTATTACTTCGCGAGCTTGTCATTCTGTACCTCCGTAAGCAATTGGTGTCATCTGTACTAATAGTATAGCACGCTGTCTGGTAGGGTGGTAGGGATACGAGGGGAGTGGTATCTTGGGCGTCATTTAAAGTACACGTGCTGTCATAGTCAGCTGCAAGAACATGCATATGCTCGCTTTTGGAGTTATCAAACGGTGCATCATGGACAGTTTCGCTCGTTCGATATTATATATGCGAATCCAGGATGGCTGCAGCCGCCACACACATTCTTCTTGGTAATTTTGAATTGCTGTAATTGAGAGCACAAGCAGCGCAGTGCAGCAAGGCATGGATGGGGGCGCTGGACCACGGCTCGCACGGCTGACAAGGCGCTCTATACAGGCCGTCAGCAGGAGTTTTTGGTTACGATTTGGTTTAAGGCGGCGTCTCGAGGGCTTGAGGAGGGCAAATGGTGCCACTTGCAAGGCCAACTGTCGGCCATGCCACTGTCGCCGGAATTAACAGGACCTAGCCAGACGGCTGTGCGTATCACGTGCAACTAACCGATGTGCACGCTACGGCCCGGCTATGAATTACAACAGGAATCCAGGATGGCGGAGGCCAGGATAGTAGGCTGGCGATGACTTTAAGTCTGTCCAAAGGGACCGACCTAATAAGCTTTGTGTGAGGCTTTCCGAAGCTAGTAAGTTGGGTTAAAAAAGGAAAAAACTGTCGCTGAAGCGGTTCGGATTTAGCGGTTTGATGGGTACGGAGCCTAACGGAGTCCCCGATGAGGAGACGAGCATCAAAAGGCAGCTGCGTGACGCCATATTGCCGCCAACAAAAAGCATCCTCTACAATTAATCTGTTAGAAGCAATTGACGAATACCATGCTCGCCTCTCGCCCGGTAGCTTCCAACGCTGCTTGCTCAAACCGTCGAACAAAGTCCAGGTCACTGACCATGAATGCCCAGGCATCCGGTGCGCATGGGGCTACCCGCACAGGGCGGATGGTGCTTTACGATGTGCCTCTTAGCAACAATGGAGCCCGCAACAGGTACATCATTCGCAAAAAAGGACTCGAAAATGAGATCGATATTGTAAGCCCTCAGACGATTGGTGGTTTGAAGAGCCCCGAGTACCTAGCCCTGAATCCGCAAGGCAAAATGCCGCTGCTAGTTCTGGAGGATGGAACAGCAATCCCAGAAAGCGAGGTAGGACTCATCACCCTCTCAGTTAATCGTTATGATAAGGGTTGGCGCGATAGCTGGCGGATTGGTTGGCATGCTGACGGTTGTGGATAACGCTCTCTCATCTTCATCATCACCTCCTCTTATAGCCCGGCGGCCCGCCATCTTCCCCTGCCCTCAGTGCCCCTGGAGCCCGCCCACCCCACCCTAGCACCACCCGCCATACCCGCTTGGCCCAACGCCACCCACCCGCCCTTCCCCTCCCCTCCTCACCATGCACTTCTCATCAACTTTTCCCCTTCCCATGGTCCAAACAGCAAACACCTTGCCACATAGCTCGTTATTTGCCACATCAGTTACCCTACTTTTCTCCCCTCCCCTGCGCTTGCTTCACTTCTCATTACCGGTATTTTTCCCTTCCCCCCTCCCCCCCTCCTCCCCTCCCCCCCCTCCCCCCCCCCCCGTCATCAGGTCATCAGCCAGTACCTGCTGGACCGCTTCGCCGACCGCGGCCCCTCACTGCGGGCAGCCACTCCGGAGGCCCGGGCCAGGGTGCGTGCCGTGCCACACCGCCTGCGCTACCCGCCTGCCGTACTGTTCCTGCAGTACACTCCCGCCTTACTCCTCCTCCTCCTACCGTCGATACCAGTTCGGCCTCCTTATCCTTCCTTCTCCCCACCTTGCTCCCCCCTCCTTCCCCCTCAGGCCGCCCTGGCCACCCGGTTGCACGACCTGTACATCTGCTCGGTGCAGGCCGCCATGTACCGCCGCATGGAGCGGCCGGAGGAGCGGGCGGCGCAGATCGGGCAGATCGCCTTCCAGCTGGGGGTGCTGGAGGGGGTGGTGCAGGTGTGTTAAGAAAACTGGCCGCGAGTAGGAACGTACTGGGATGTGCAGGTGTGTGTGTGGGGGGGGGGCGCGAGTGGTTGGGTTGTGGTTTACAAGTAAGTAGCAGGAGTTGTAAGGGATGGTACTCCTTTGGGGCCGGATCCATATCTCACCACGACGCCGTCTGGGGCATGGGGTTGTGTGTGTGTGTGAGGAGGACCGCGTGAGGAGGACATGTGGACGCGGACACGTGCTCATGCGTCAGTACTCCTCCTTCCTCCACAACACCCAACTCCCCACAACACCCAACTCCCGTCCCCCATCCCATCGTCTCCCTTCACTTCTGCCTCTTCGTTCCCCATGCGCATGCCTGCCTTTCCGCCTCCCTCCCTCCCTCCATCCCTCCCTCCCTCCCCCTCCGCTGCACAGGGCCCCTACATCGCGGGCGCCGACCCCACCTCCGCCGACGCCGCTCTGTTCCCCACCTTTGTGTTCCTCACCTTCATGCTGCCGCGCTACTTCGGCTGGCGGGACGTGTTCGCGGGCAAGCCCCGACTGGCAGCCTGGTGGAGGACCATGCAGGCAGACCCGGCGGCGGCGCAGGTGGGGGATGTGGTAAACTGAGGGGGTGGAGGGGGGAGCGAGGGGGGGCTACCGTGTGTTTTTCGTCTTCGTAATCCGTACGGCTTCCAAACCGCGTGTTCAGCACCCGCGTTACTGTGTCCCATGCATCGCCCCTGCCGCCTGCCGCCCGTGCTGCGCAGATCATGTTGGAGATCGAGGGCGGGCTGGAGGGCTGGGCAGCCAGCAACCGGTGGCAGGAGCAGGGCATTCTGGACCAGGTGGCCAATACCAGCTTCAAATGGGCTTACTGAGGAGGAGGAGGAGGAGGAGGTGGGGGGACGGTGGCTGTGACCCGTGGGTCGCCCAGGTGGCCATGCATACTGGCACATGAGTGAAGGCCCTGGAAGAAGATGAGTGAGGAGGCCACCAACATGCTGTTCGGGTTCGCATGGTGCGCATGCAGCAACACAGGTGTGGGTTTATTATGTGGGAAGATAAACAACCAAACGTGTGGACCATCTTCGCAACAGCCTGGCAGAGTACGGCAGGTCGGACTTTGCAACATGTGTCAAGTCATGGAACTGTGCACCGGCGGATGAGTTTCGGAGGGACGGTGGAGAAAGAAGACGCGAGAGAAGAGTGGAAGCATGTGAGAGCGAAGAGGAAAGTTGATCCCTAGGAGTGTCGCAACCTTTCTCGCGCATGTGGAAAGGTGTGCTGGGCGTTAGCGAGAGGGTGTTGCCGTATTTTTGTCCCCCTTACACACGTGCGCTAAACCACCTGAGGAGGTTCCGCCCGGTGTGTCGGTGACGACGGTGAGGTGAGCAGCCATCTGCGGGTGAGAGCGGCAAGCAGGCTGGCAAGCCCTGAGGGTGCAGCCTGCGGACACCCGTCGTTTGGGGAAGCGTTGAGGGGAAGCGGTTGCAGCAAAGTGCATTGCGATGGCACCGCATGACAATTGATGCAAGCTCCCTGCCTGTTGCTGCAGCTTTGCCATTTATAAAATTTTCTTAGTTGCCGTTTTGCCGTTGCAAAGTACGAGGGAAGTTCATACCAATGTTATGTCGGCGGACAGCGGGGGTGGGAACGGTCTCACTCAAATATTCCCGGTATCGCATTTTACCGGTCTTTCTTGTACCCGTTTGCGAGAGATGAGATGAGGGGGGGGCTGCTATTCAGTTGGGTTTGCTTCCTGCTTCGTGCTGCCGTGGCAACGTTGCCGTTACATGCTATTCAACCGCACCGAATGCATGCTGCTGGGACAATAACTGTACAACTGCCAACTGCAATCATCTGCTGCTAGCCCCGCTCGTCCTAAGCGAACTCTCAACAGCACCCACGTTGCAATCCCCCAGCAGCTAAATGAATGCACGCTGCAGCAGCTACCACACTACTCTTTTTGCCTGGCCGCTTGCCTGTCCCACCGCACTTCTCGGAACCGGACAATCTACCGATGTATGCGCACAGCCAAGCGCATCCCACCCGCTGCCCTGAGCTCCTGGCTGCGGGTTCCTGGCTGCGGCCGTATCTAGCAGGCTGCCCACACCACTCGGTTCAGCTCAACAACACACACACACACTTACATCACATCCGCCCCTCCTCCTGCCACCCCTCCCCCTCCTCCCCTGCACGCGCCCCCCTCAGTAGCTGCCGCCGCCGGGCCCACTGCCCACCGCCACAGCACCTGCACCCCCGCCGCCACCCCTCTGCCGTACAGCTCCCTCCCCCGCGCTTCCGCCACCCTCCAACATGCGGCCACCGGCAGCCCCCTCCTGCCGTACCGCCCCCTCCCCAGTCCGACCACCTCCCTCCGTCACGCCGCCGCTACCACCAGCGCTTGCCATCTGCCGTACGGCACTCTCACCCGTACGCCCTCCCCCCTCCGCCACATCTCCGCCGCCAGGCTGACTCCCGGCGCCCTCAACACCACCGCCGCCGCCGCTGCCGCCGCTGCTGTGGGTGGCGCCGGTTGCGTCCAGTTCCGGTGATGCGTACGAGCACTGCGGGATTCCCTCGTCGTACACCTCGTTGCTGACGTTGCCCCAGCTGTCCTGCTTGTGCGCGCCACTCAGGCGGTCCTGCATGTGAGGGTGGTGGTGGGGGCAGGAGGGCAAAAAATAGAATTAAGTGAAACAACGAGTCCCAATCCCATATCCCGACTCATGCAGGGGGGCACGGGGGTGGGCAATGGTTAAGGGGGTGGGTATTACTCTCTCGCACCAGGCTGGCGGTTAGGATGTAGGGATGGATGGACTTACGTTTTAACACCTCCCGCCCCCCTCTTCCTCCTGCCCTCTTACTACCCCCCCCCCACCTGCATGATCAGCAACCCATGGTGGAGCCTCGTCATTCAGTTTGTCAGTGTTTCTTTATTTTTACCCCCCCACCTGCATGATCATGCTGCCGGGCATCTTGCCCTCCCGCGCCTGCTGCGCCACCACCCGCTCCTTGGCGGCCTGCAACTCGACCTGGGGTGAGGGGGGGTGGGGGGGGGCGGCATTGGGGTTTGGGGTGGAGGGCGGGAGGGCGGGAGGGAGGAGGGGAGGTGCCGACAAGGGATGCCGCCACCTGCCTCCTCCATCCTCCAGGGGTTGGGTGCGGAAGGAAGGCATTGTATAGCATGCTGTTTGCGGGGGCTAGCGGCAACACGGCAGGTGCGGGGAGAGGTGCGGGGAGAGGTGCGCAGCAGCGCCCTAGGATGGCTGGGCTCCCATTCAGTAGGTGCTGCTCCACTTGCTATCGAGGGCAGCAGCACCTACTTGCGTACTAGCAGCAGATAGCGTACACCCGCACGAACATAATGAAGCTAATAAAAGGTGGTCTACACCATCATTCAACAATGATAATGTAGCCTCTGTCCTTCATGCGCTCCACGTCACATACCCCTCCCGCGCCCCCCCACCCACCCACCTTGGGCTTGTCCACGTAGCGCCCGCGCTCGTCCCGCTCACTCGCCGCATAGTAGCCGGTGGTGGTGTCCTGGGCGGGGCGAGGGGAGGGCAGGGGTGGGGGTGGGGTGGGGAGTGGGGAGGCAAGGGAGGCAGGCAACGGTGTGAGTAGATGGGCAGCACGAGGATGTTGGACACGGGCCTTACAAGCTCTACGCGTCAGGCCGGCGCTCGCAAACAATTCACGATCAGCGAGGACTTATGGCACTGGATCAGAGGCTATTGAGCGCGCAGAGAGTTCGCTAACTGCATTGCAATGGTAAACCACGCGGACCCTGCAGTTAAGGAGAACGATTTACAGCGAAATGTCGACCCGAGTGTGACGCGTTTCTGCTTCTCGTTGGCGATCGGTATGAGTCTTAGCGGATCTGGCTGGGCCCACACAGCACCGCTGACACCCACCATGGCAGTTGGAGTCTGCTGGTCGCTGCTGCTGCTGGAAAGGCGCCTGGCGGAACTAAGAAGGAGGAAGTAAAGGGAGCGGGTGACCCGCGGGTCAGCTTGCGGCCGGGCGCTGGACTACGAAAGCACCTAATACTACATCTGCGCAGAAGCGTATGGAGGACACGCCGAAAGTATAGAAACTTCTCGCTACCATGGGCTTTAAACTACTGTCCAATGTGCAGGTATTATGCGCAAGCGGCTGCATGACGCCGTGCTATTCACCTGGAGGAGCAGAAAGCCTCTGCGTTGGGTCGTAAAGCAAACACCCGGCCGAGAGCAATTCGATAAGGTTTCATGTATGGACGAGAGGTGGATGGAGTATCCAAATGCGCAATGGTTCGCGGCGGGTGTCAGTTGCCCCACTGCTCGTCCATGTGCCCAGTCATCAGTTACGGAAGCGTTGCTCTGCTCCATTGCTCCTCCCTAAATAGTGACAGGCTACAAGCCCGGCTGACATACTTTAACATACCTTAGAGCCTTACGCTATGGTTTCAAGGGTGTTGTTATCTGGGGATTCTAGAGGGCGCGTCGACTGCTGCCGAATTGCATGTGAGCATGTCGCGGGTCTACGCTTCGGTCGTCCCATTGTGCCCATATGCCCTGACAAGTGTCTTCCTGGGGTCGAGCACACGACAATGGGGATGTGCGCGGGGAATGTAACGTCAGGGGCGGGTGGGCGCATCCGTGGTTGGGGTGGATGCGGGTATGACGGTGCCACTTGCATCCGCCCCCGCCAGCTAACGACGCACCCGCCCCCTGTGACGGTACCTGGTTCCCGCTCGCTGTCTGTGTGCACGGGAGGCTTGCATGTAGCGTGCAATGGTGAGGCAACGACGTGTTGGGGCGACCTGGTCGTCTGGCTGTCCATATGATGTACTTGCATGTACTTGTCTGGCTGGCTCGCCTTACTTGGGGACTGATCACATACAGGAGGTGCCACGGCACCACGGCGCACGTCCAACCCAATTCTCCCAACACGCAGCATTCAAAGCTTGCGAGCTGGCGTGCAGAGCGGGACATGCTGCTATGCTGCACGCATCAGTACTCGACATTGTGTTCATTCGTGTCAAGGCACCTCCACCTTTACAACGCCGACGCAGATCCAAGTTACTCACTGCTTTGCTGGGTCATTGGAAAGCAAGGCGCACATGTACCGGTCGTTGAACAATGCGGGGTAAAGAGGAAACAACTGACTGAGGGATAAGGCGTCAACATGGGTCGGGGTGTAACGCTGGCTGGAGGCAATCATGGGAAAGATAAGCACGTGCGGCCCGGCGCTGCAAATGAGAATGACTTGCCATGGTGAGCTATAGACATGCACGGACAGGTTTGCCCAATCGTGGCATTGGGGGCACGTGACCCGCGGGTCAGCTTGTGGCTGTAGGTTGGGCGCTTGGAGAACATATGCGCACAGAGTAGTCAACGTTCGTGCTAACTGAAGTATTTGCCCTCATGCGCTCTTCAATGCATCCAGTCTAGGTCACGGAGGTACTGCTTTGCTTCTCCCTTTCAGGTCGTAGACGGCCACCGACTACGGCCTTGTTGTTTTGGACATGCTATGTATGGGCCATTAGGGACTCGAGGGGGCGCGTTACGGCATTGACGCATGCCGCATGGCTCAGCTTTAACTTGTAGCGAAGTGATATGGGTGGTGCCCACACCTCATAAGTCTCCGAGGGAGGTTTGCGAAAGCTGTGGCTGTCAAAGTGCGTCGAACCCTACTTTTTCTGCAACTTTTGTCCAGCTGCGGTTATGTGCAGAGGAGTTAGCCATTGTGGAGATCCTTTCTGAAGGAACTGTCAATTTATAGCACGTGTTGTCCCACATAGCTAGGATGGGCGCTGAACAGGATACCGGTAACTCCTATCCCAAAGATCAAGAAGGCGCGCTACACATACAAGTAAGCTTATTTTGCCCTGATACAAGCGTTTCGACACTCTTGGTAACCACGAGGTGAACGCCCTACACCAATATGTTTTACGCCTCCCGCGTTTCAGATGTACGACTCTACAGAGTTACTTCCCAAGATGGCACAAGCTTGCGCGCTGCTTGTTAGAGCGCAATTCAACGTTGCCTTTGATGTCGGAGGCATTTGGTTTATTGAGGGGCTATGGCTGATTATCCTGCAACTCAGAAACCATTCTATCTGCAGTTCGACAAGCATTTCATAGTTTTTGCGGGCATGAGCCTTTAATTAATGCTAGTTGTTTTGAGCTAGCCCCAAAGAAGGAATGGGAAACATCCAGGCGCGTGGGGCTAGGAAATTCTTGGACCCAGAACCTGTCTGGCAAGATTATTACGCAGCAGATTGGAGGTCCGAAAGGGCTAAGGACCTTGATCGATATGGAGGTATGGTGCAGCTAAGCAGTCGCGAGGTTCAATGGAAGCTCAACATTTGTTTATGGGACTTTGCTCTCAGGGCCCGCCCGGCCACCGGTGGCGCGTGGCGAATCCGTTACAGCTAAGCTGATCTTTCTCGAGGTGGGGTTGCACAGGAGCTCCAGCTTTGTGCAGAATTTTGGGTTAGGGCATTGTTACGAAGAGCAGCATGACTCGAGCCCTTTTGCGTTGAATGACTATAACTTAGGATATTCAGTTCCATGAAGCTGCCGTTCCATCCTTTGGGCGCTATCGGCATGCTGATTTGGTCGCTACTACCACCGTCCCTCTTAACCTAACTCCTTGTTGGGGCATCTCCCCTGGCTATGCGGGCTCTCAGGCGGCGCTAAGGAGGGAGCAAAAGCGTATGAAACATGTCCTACAACAAGATGGGAACGATAAGCCAAAACGAGAAGAGGCACAGAAGGCGTCGGATAGGGCACAAGAGTTCGTCCTAAACACCGATATCAGGTAAATTGGGCCTCAGGTGTCACCCATACCCGGGTTGCAGCATAT